AAAAGTAGTGTTATTAAAATCAGCATAACAGTAAAAATTATTTCCACCTATTATAAGAGTAAAGGTAGCATTGCAAATAAACCTAGAGACCTAGTAAACCAATTTATAACATTAAAAACATTTTAAAAGTAAAATTAAATTAAAAATAAAAATTTAAAATACAATCTGACTGTTTTTATAGTATCATTTACATTTATAGTGTACAGTTCATAAATGTTTTAGAATAGTTTTCAAAGTTGTTCATGTTTTGTTTTGGTTTGTATATGTTTGAAAGTGTTTGCTTGCTGGTTTAAAAAAATAATTGTCAAGTGATGCATGTCTCTTTAAACAACAGTTACCTTGTACCCTCTCTCTGCTATTTTCAAGCCTCTCTGCTACCTCTACTGGACGACCTAAGCAGTTCACTCCATCTCGAATCCTCCAGACTGCTTAGTCTGCTCACAAGTGATCTCCTAGCATATTGCATATTGCATGTTACCTGACTAAGTCTAAAACTACTGTATAATTGGGTGAATTACATTAAGACAAATCAAAACAATCAATAGGCTGCAATCCACACTAAGTGACTTAGAGCCTCTAGATGATTTTCACCGCCTGTTTGAGGTCAGTTCGATATTTTAGCGACACTAACAAGGCCGGTGTACGATGCTCAGAGACGCCATGATTAACGTAAGGCAGGTGGGGACTTTCAAATTGCTGCAATGGGAGATAGAGTCAGCTCCTTCTCCTGTTATCTCCTTTGGTTCTCCAATAAGAACGTCCACAGCTCGCGAAGAGTAGGCTCATTGCTGTAAACTCGATAGGTATATCCTCGCCTGCCTTACGCTAATCCTGGCATCTGTGAGCATCGTACAGCAGCCTTACTACTGCCGCTCGTATATCGAGTTGAATTCAAACAGGCAGTGCGAAACATCTAGAGGCTCTATATTTGTGCTTACTGTATCGATGGCATATTGGAATATTGGTGGACATTTTTCATTAGACTGTGAGGATTTGGACTTCACAATATTTCCTTGGATCTTTTGGACAATGGTTTCCTTTTTTTTTTCTTGCGTGGAGAGTTGCTCACTATTTAGCAATAATATTAGTTATTGTTATTGCTAATGTGTTACCATTCAAGCATATCACTAAATGAATGGAATTGCATTAGTTCTATTCTGTCTTACTGATTTTATGGATTTTAAATAAACAAATTTATTTTTACCTGTATATATGTTTGTGCACATCTACTAAATTCTATATTTAATAGATAAGTCTACTAAACTATTGCTACCTAGAAACTATTGCTACCTGGAAATTCTATTATTGTCAGGGCCGGCGCTTCCTATAGACGACTTAGGCAGTCGCCTAGGGCGCCCCTTACCAGGAACGCCAGCCCCATCAAATGCTGCAGCCGCCTGAGCGCTCTATAGAGCTTCAGGCAGCTGCAGCATTGCTAGGGCCGGCTCGTCCTTGAGGGTGCAAGATATGAGCATAGCACTCCCTCCTGTCAGTCCCTCAGTGTAGCGCGGCCGAGCTCCAGTCCACGGTACAGGAGCATCCGTTTCCTCTACCCGGCCAGACTGACAGGAAGTGCTCACTCAGTGAGCACTTCCTGTCAGTCAAGCCAGGTACAGGAAACAGAAGCTCCCGTACCGCGGACCGAACTGGAACTTGACAGCTCTACAACAGAGGTAAGGGGGTGGGGTGAGGAGAACGGGGGGAGAGACCACTGAGGGAGGGCGAGGGAGAGACCACCATTGGGGGGGGTGGAGGAGAGACCTCTATGGAAGCAGCAGGTGAGGAGAGACCACTAAGGAGAGAGAGGAGAGACCACTAAGGGATGGGGGGTTAGGAGAGACCACTAAGGGAGGGAGGGGGTGGAAGAGAGACCACTATGGGAGGAGGGGTGAGGAGAGACCACTAAGGGTGGGGGATGAGGAGAGACCACTAAGGGTGGGGGATGAGGACAGACCACTAAGGGAGGAAGGGAGGTGGAGGAGAGACCACTAAAAGGAAGGTGGGGTTGGAGAAGTGACCACTAAGGGGAGAGGAGAGGAGAGGCCACCAAGGGTGGGGGTAGGAGCAACGAGGGGGAGGAGGGTGAGACAACTAATGGAAAGGAGGGAGAGGAGAAGGCTAATGGAAAGGGGGGGGAGGAGAGATGACTAATGGAAAGGGGGGAAGGAGAGACCACTAGAGGGACAGAGGAGAGCAGAGACTATTAAGGGGAAGGGGGGAGAGGAGAGACTACTAATGGACAGGGGAGGAGAGGAGAGACCACTAAGGGGAATGGGAAGCATTTCAAACTCAAAGTCTGGCACAGGCCACATAAACATAAGTTTATGTGGGCACAAAAAACAACAACCTTAAATTTTCATAGAAACGTAGGTTTATTTTAAAAAGTACAGTATAAAAAAGAAACAGCATCCCCTTCTACTAAATCCCAGCCCCCCCCCCTCTACTAAATCCCAGTCCTCCCTTTACTAAATCCCAGTCCCCCCCTCTACTAAACTACAGTCCCCCCCTCTACTAAACTACAGGGCCCCCCTCTACTAAATCCCAGGGCCCCCCTCTACTAAACCACAGCACCCCCCTCTACCATCCTGTGCCAAATCTTGTGCTACTTCTTGAAACCCTGTGAAGGTGGAGCACGTCGATGTCACGTGGCGTTGCGTGCCTCCATGCACCTCCAGTCGCAGCCAATGCAACACTGAGCAAAACACACACACTCACTCACTGACAGACACACACACACACTGACAGACACACACACACACACTGACAGACACACACATACTCACCGACAGACACAAACACACATACTCACTGACACACACACACACTCAGACAGACACACACATAATTTGGTATTTTAGTTTAATGGAAGACAGGAATGGGTTAGCAGTAAAATGCACATGTTTGTAGGTGTTAATTGTGTTTTTAAATCAAAAAATAAACAAACAAACAAACAAAAACAATGTTTTTATTAAAACACTGTTTTTGGTGGGAAAATAAAATATCTGTTCCAATCACCCACCCCTATTTTTGGTTTTAAATTGAAATATTTTTTAAAAAAATCACTCAAATCAGCACCAAGATCTTCCTGCAGCCTATTCTGGGCTGGCTAATGCACCTCTCTGTATATGCAGCTTTCACCAGGTCATGGTGCTTGGAGTAACAATTCAAGGCAGAAAAAGTTAACTTCACAAGGCACATAACTAGGAGTTAAAGGCTCTGTCACCAGAAAAAAAAGACTTTGAGCATTTCACAAAGATAAAATCATTATGAAATGCTCATAAATTCCAATGCAGTCAAACGATATCATAAGATAAAGTAGGGCAGACACACAAACACTGACACACGTGCACAGATGCATACACGTACACAAACACGGACAAATCTACACAGATACATATGCACACACGTACTCACACAAGCACTGACAAACAGATACATACAGACACAAACACTAAAACACATGCACAGATACATATACTGACACACACAAACACTGACACACTTGCACAGGTACATATACTGACACACATGCACAGATACATAATCTGACACACACAAACACTGACACACATGCAAAGATACATACACTGAAACACTTTTCCTCTCTCTCAGTCCAGCTCTCTCCCCTGTGTTCTTGCAGTAGTGTGCCTTTCAATTGCCTCCCCCTAGACTCTGGTGTTCTTGGTTCCAAGGGAGCCTTCTTATTGGCTTCTTGCATTTTTGATGCTCATTGTTGAGTCAGAACACATGCTGGGAATCCCCTTGGCTGCGCTCTGAGTCACAGAGAGCCAGAGACCTGAATGAGAGGCTATCATGGAGTGTAGCGAAGGAGGTACAGCGTGTGTGATTCCCACTGGACCAACAGGGAATATTTTTTCTTTAATATATTGCCTACCCTGCAATATATTCAATTTAAATTGAATTGCACTTTTCATGGGGTGCAGAATTATCATCCTGCCAGGGTACCCTTAGATGGCCACTGCTGTTGCAAGCTGCCTGGCGTCCCTGTTGCCATAGCGCCCTGTGTGGACACACAGCTCGCACACCCAAAGGCCAGCCCTGTTTGTGTCAGTAAGCATGTGTCAGTAAGCATGTGTCAGTGACTGCAGCCAAGCTGCCTGACAAGCATACAGACCAGCTCACGTGAACAATGCAGAGAACACTGTTTCAGTGCCTAGTGCCCTTATCACTCATGCTGAGCTTTTTATGGACAGTTCCCTAGTGTTCCCAAAAGAAGGACATTGAGGAACAAAGCAACCTTAGCTGTGCATCACGAGAAACAGCTAGCTAGTCACTTGTCGCATGTCTGACAGTTACTGGAAACCCAAACATTACTGGGAATCTGCACACATTGGCCAAACCAAACTAGAGCAGCCCATTAGGACACTCTAAGGTGAGTTACGAGCCGCCTAGACAATCTGTGAAACTGGGGGACATAGTCCTCCCCCCCCATCCCTTTGAGCATCAGGTGGGGGACATTAACACAAAGAGTGGGGGGGAGGGGGAGCAGGTCACTGTGCACCTACCTATCCTTCCACCACTTCCTGGCCAGCTCCCCTCTGTTTTATTATTTATAGCCCAGAGTTTATATTATAATAGCCTTAAATGATGATGATTTGCAAATGTGCATCTTTGTTCATTTTCACAATCCTATGTTTTGTATAGAATTCAATGAGAAAGCACCACTTTTAATCTGCACAAACAACCGCAGGAAATTGCGGCAGATTCGCTCAGAGAGACTGAATTCCGACCGTATTTGGCTTTAGTAAATATGAGAATTGACATTGCAGTCGGAATACGGTCATTATGTCCATCCGGATCCTTCTTTAGTGAATAAACCGGTGTAAAAATAAGAACAATTCACACTTTAGTAAATTACTCCTTTAGAGCCACTTGCAGGCGAACAGCTGTATATGCGGGTTGGCTTCCCTGGTCACACGACTTGTTTCTCTAGTTCAGTGAGGCTTCCTCTTCCTCCTCACAGCTCACCAATGGGAGGAGCAGCTCTATACCCGGCACTGTGTGTATCGTTCCGTGTAACAAGTGATCTAATGCTGAATAACAATGTCTCACCGAGTCAAGTAAAGCTAGCATGCGGATCCAGGCTGTAACTCTTCTGTCGGTACGGTGCGATTAGCTTTATAGCAAACCGTTGACAGAATCTGTGGGTCAGCTATAAACCTGGCTGGCTGGCTGGCAATAAGTATGAGACGCTGGGATCTAATGAAGTGTTGACTCCAGGACAGACTGTGAGTGTCCCATACCCCAGCCTAATATGAGTGGAGCCACATCAGATATGGGGGATGAAACAAGGCATCTCTTGGACCCGGATTCGGAAAGATGTCTGCAGCTAAGGAAGTTGGTGGAGTTTAAAGTTTACAAGAGAAGATGGTTTTTCCTTGGGGTGGTGTGCCTTCTAAACTGCTCCAATGCCATGGTAGGTGACACCCTGGGGACCTATTGTAAATATCTAAATGTTGGGAGAAACAAAACCCTATCAAAGCGTTGGAATTTTGAAGGGTGGTAAGGCATCTTGGGAGCTGTAGTTTTACAGTATTTAAGAATCTACTTTTAGGCTTTACCTAGAGCCTCAGCTGCTGCAGCGTAATCTGTTTTTCCTCAATTTGCTGATCGAAGAGGTTTTGGACTGAAAGCTATGTAATCAGCTGCTGCAGAACCGCTTTGGAACGTCAATCACTGCCACCCACTGATTTGGATCTTCACAGCCAACATTCCAGAGCGGTTCTGCAGCATTCTTTACAGCAGAGACTGTCCTTAATGCCAGCCTGGGTTGGCGTGAGTGTTCAGCACCGGATTAACAATCCTACTTCATTGCACTATGGTTTTTTTTGTCATCTGCTTTTTAGATGAGAATATGGTTTTTTTTTACCATCCCTCTTTTTTGGCAAACTGATCTGGGAATCAACAAAAAAACAACTTTAGGAGAAATCAATATATTGACGATATATATGTATTTTTAAATGTAGTAGTATTGAGTCACATTATAATTGTGAACCTACTCATGTTATAATACAATACTCTATGCTGTTTAATATTGCTGGTAAGATAGACAGGTGGTTATGTAAATATATGCTTAAAACAAAAGTATCATTTAATTTCTATCTCTGTAGCAACAAGGTTTCATAGATTTAAAGTCACCAAGTCTCAATGAAGTGGTCTGGGTGCAGTGTCCATGTCCTCTTGTCCCTGTAATGTAAAAGATTTTTTTAGAAACTACTTTTTTTTGTGAGTTTAGTTACATTTGTTTTCATATTCAGTTATGTTAGCTAATGCATTTGATTTGAGATCTGTATTTATAAGTAACTATATTTTTGGATCATGCTAATTTTTTTTACACTCAATAAAAAGAACATGTAAAATATCTAAATATTTACAGAAGAACTGGCTAATGCAATCCATATTTCACTTTTGTGGATCCCTTATTGCAAACACTGGGGTGCAAGGCAATGCTTTTGTAATCAAGGGCATTTTCACTCACTACTAATCTCCAGATTTCATCAATGTACCACCAGGAAATAATACCTCTCAAGGGACCCTATTTAGAGAGGATCAGTCCCTTTTGCCATTCTTTTATGTGCTGATATTCTTCTTTTGTAAGAGCTCCACATTGTTGGTTTGATTGAGTGTATACAATTGCTCCAAATCAGGCTTCCCCAAACTCCGGCCTTCCAGATGTTGCTGAACTACAACTCCCATGATTCTGTGAATGAAATAGGCTGAGAATCATAGGAGTTGGAGTTCAGCAACATCTGGAGGGCTGACGTTTGGGGAAGCCTGCTCCAAATCAATAATATTCACAGTAATGAAACTACAATGTGTTCATAAATCTGATACATTGTAAATCAGATACATTGTTCCTTTTCTAATTACAGCTAGTTGCATAAATCGTTATTATAAGTCACCTACAATTTCTCAGAAAAGCCCACCACTGGTCACATCCTCTTTCACACTCCCACAATCAAAATGTCCCTCTTTGTCCACTGTATTTAATTTTCACAAATGAAAGTAACATTTCTGTTTTCAAACTGGTGGTTGAGACGTTTGGTATTGGGGAAAAAGAAACTCACACTGTTAACAATATAAAAATAGCACGTGGAGCCAATACTGATTAAGTCTGAGCATTTGTCAGTAAATGTGACACATATAACGGTATATAAAAATTCTAATATTGTCAGTTTAAGAACTAGTAATTGTGAGCGATGTAAAATGTTTTCAGACAAAAAGTCTGCAATGTTGTAATTATTAAAAAAAATTATTATAAATGGTTTCACTACTTAAAACAGCATAGGGGGACAGGGCTTAACCTCGGAACGGAGCGGACGCCATTTCCCTTACCTTCGCTGGGGCTCAGCCTAATCTGTTAAATATCTCGAGTTAATTTACCCATCTGACTGCCAATACCAGAGTGATTGCTCGGTGCAGTTCCAGGCACTGGTTCATGCCTTTCTTCCACAAATCTGGGCCGAAAAAATGGAGGAAGGGGCCTGCGGCCTACCATCTCCCCTCACTCGGACTGTCTGAGCTGCTGGGGCCTCTCACACCCTGGAACACACCGGAGTCGGAGCCCGCACACTGCTCCTCACCAGACCAGCACTCCATGATGGGGCGGCACTCACAGAAACCCCCACCAGGTAACCCGCATGATGCACAAGACATAAAGGCCCTACTCCAGCGCCAGGTCCAACACAAAATGGCTGCACAAGAGACCAGAGAGGCCGCAGTTGACACACAGAACCCTGAGCCAGTCGCAACTCAGACCACACTACAGAGCTCCGAGCAGCTAGCCCCAAACATGCCAGACTGGTCAACACTGGCCATTAAGTAGGACATTAAAGTCTTCCTTGCTGAATTCTGGCAGACCCTGATGGCGGATGTAGCGGTGATCCAAGCCGATAGGTTGACACTGACAGGGTCAGGGCCACTGAGGAGGACATCCTTGATGTGAAACAAGAAATGCTGAACATGAGAAATTTCCTTAAATCTGTGCAAAAGGCACAACAAGCATAATCTGCACACTTTGCCACCCTGGATGATCTCTCCCGATGAAACAACCTGAAAATACCCGGTGTACCTGAGACCATAACAACGGAAGAACTTCCACATTACCTGAGGTGCATTGTAGCCTCACTTTTACCACTGACACAGGTCAAAAAAATTATGTTCACCTACCTAAATCCCCAAGAGCCCCTGTGACAGGTTTGAGTGATATCCTAGTTCGCTGCTCCCTCGCGCAGGACAAAAAGGCTCTCCTAACGGCTCTGTGGAACAAGACGCCCTACCTGTTTGAGGACACTGACATTCTACCAAGATCTCTCAAGGTCCACCCTGCAATGGAGAGCAGCCGATCACTTATCGCTAGGCAATGCAAGATCTCTGGTGGTGTACCAGAATGGAACTGCCCAGAGTCTCTCCTCTATTGAGGAAGCACAAGCCTTGTTTAAGGCACTGGTACTACCTGCATCAGACAAGGTAGCAGGAGGCCAAAACGGCACTCACAGCTGGGACCCAACCACCATGGTCCCCAACCACCATGGTCCCCTCTTTCCCACGTTCACAACGATGCGAATGGGGACTTGTCTAGGAAGCAAGCGGATACTACTTCGAGTGGCTGTGGGCTGCATAAAAAGTTTATTGTTTAAATGTTGTTTTTATTGCTTTATTTTTTGTTGGTTTGAGTTGAGATGAAAGCCTTAAAGGCCTAGTGGATGACTGCGCTGCTCCATAAGATAGGAGCTTGGCAACAAATCCCCCCCCCGTGCAGCCCCCTTGTATTGGGGCACCAGCGCATTTCTGTTTAGCCGCAACTTGACTAAGGTCCTGGCAAGTTAACCATGCCAAGTTGGATGCAGCTATTACCTAGGAACCTCTCAGCTACTGCCTAGAAGTGATATCTAATAAATCTTAATATTCCACCCTACATATAACTGGGCTCTTCCCTACCGCCACGCAGAAATCCTAAACCATAATCTAAAGGCTGTAATAATTCTATAGACTGTAAGCTTGTTTGAGCAGGGCCCTCTTCAACCTATTGTTTCTGTAAGTTTACTTGTAATTGTCCTATTTATAGTTAAATTCCCCCCTCTAATAATATTGTAAAGCGCTACGGAAGGGCGCACTCCCTCCCTCAGTAATGCAACCCAGGTGATAACGCTGATACCTAGCCTTTGGCGAGCTCAAGCCTGCCAGGTCAAATACCCATGTGACCAACTCATCTTAAATAATATGTAACACTAATATACTATGTGATAGGACGTGACTGTATTGCTTGTTTTCCAAAAAAAAAAAGTTAAAAGAAGCTATTAATTTCAAGAGTGCAAGATGTAATACTGCAAATGTAATGTGTGCCTATCTACTGTTGCACCCTCCCTTTATTTTTTGTACCCATTGTCTGAATAAAAGAAAGAACAGCTTAAACCTAGCTTGAAAATAAATATATGATAAACAGTACTTTGAAGGAGTGTTTATATTCCTTTTAGGTTAATGCCTCACCCACCCACTGCCTTTAAATTCCAGTGGAAATACAGCCCCTCACCACAGCTTTGCTCCAGTACTTTGATATGGCTCATACCAATCCATAGGGCAGGGGTAGGCAACCGTTGGCACTTCAGATGATATGGACTACATCTCCCATAATCCCCTTACAACCATAATGCTGTAAAAGCATCAAGGGAGATATAGTTCTCAGCATCTGGAGTGATATATGTTACCTACCTAGTTTGGCCCATACCAAACTGCTCAAGTGCCTCTCTCAGCCAATTACATCCCTTAATGTCCAGTTGGGTTGACAAAGGAAGTCTAGCACAAGCAGAAGCCGCAGGGAAGGACCATCAACGACTGAGTTCCCTGGTTCTTTGTTAAACTATATGTCTGTTATACCTTCACTAATTCTGTAAAACTATATATTTTTTTAACCAGTGTTCTAGAAGTCATGACCAATGATAAATGCTTTTATATTATACTGATACTTTATGTACCGTTACATTTGAGACTCTGGACTAACATTATTCCAAGACATGGCAATATAATTAATAATGAATTACATTCTTGCGGTTGTTTCACATTGTAGTTATGGATCAGCTTTGCACCGGTGGCCAATTTTACAGCAAGCTTCTTCAAAACCACCCTGGACACCATTAACTGGCTTGCTGTTGTATATGTTATTATAGCAATACCATTTGGCTTTGGAGCATCATGGCTTCTGGACACATTGGGGTTAAAATCTGCTGTAAGTATGCATTTTTGTATCCTTTATTATGCTTCTGTTTAACCTTGATTTGCATCTGTTTCTCCTGTGCAGACTAAATACCTACTTGACATGATCATAACAGGGCTCAATATTTCCACTCGCCCACTAGCCATTGGCAAGTAGAAATTCACCTCTGGTGAGTGTGCTATGCATTCTCCAGACTTGTAGTGGTGAATATTTTTTAGACCTGATTAGTAGCATAGGACTTGATTGCAATAGATGTAGGCTCTGATTGCATACATAACATGTTTAAACCTTATCAGGTAATAACCTCTAAGAAGTGTTTTATAACTTCTGTTGACATTCTACTGACCTTTGAACCCATGTAGGGTTCTTTTCTCAATTGTTTGCAGTTACATGATTATGGTTATCCCCATTTTGCTTACCATTTAACCCTTTATAATTTTTGTGCCTAATTACCCTCTTTTTGTATTTATTCAAGTAGGTATTCACTCAACACAGAATTGTAGTTGATTGAAATCCAATTTGCAACATAAAAGCCTAACCAAGCGAACTGCCTAAAGTTTGCAATTTGGTTTTCAATACACTGCAAATTGGTACTTCTTTAATAAGCCTCCTAATAAACGTACACAATTATAGAGAAGATATCTTTTGGTAGTTATAGCAAAATTATGAGAAAAGACAATAGTTTTCTTCTCCATTTATAAATCAGAATTTAAAGTGCATGCCTAGTGTGTGGCATATGCATATTTTGATCAGTGTATTATCTGGTACGTGCTGGCAAAAATCACATCATATTCACCCAGTTCACCCATGACTGACTCCCATTGAAATCTACAGGAAAATCATTGCATGTGCTGGTGTGCAGGTTTCTCCCACTGCATGTTGTTCAGTTCCTCTGCAAAAATGTAAAATATTGTTATTCAAGTTGTTGTGTTATTTCAATTTTCAGTATCATTGGTATTATTTTGTGTGCAAATTTTAATAAAATAAATATTCATAAAACAGTTATGAATGGAGGATTTGTATTATAATATCCTTTACCTAACAATCTAGCAGTAAATGTTTCTATGTATGTTTGTTTACATCCATATCCTGATTTACTTAAGGTTTATACTTCTGTGTTGCAACAAACAAACACGAGGGCCATAAGTTTCTAGATCAGCAGTTTTCAAATTGAGGCAATAGACCTTTATGTTCATTTCTCATGTGTGCTGTCTCCTTAACTGACACATTTCACAAGGGTACTTATATATTAAGTACCCTGAAAGCAATCTTTGGAGTTCCAGACATGTCTCTAGTGCTGTTAATTAGATAAGACTTTGTAAGTGAAGCATGTTGAGAGCTACTGTAACCTGTTAAAGCAACACTTCAGCAACCATATCTTGCCATAACTCCTGGGTTTAGCTTACATAGGGATCTTCTGGTTTTTCATAGAAAATATAATGCATGGAGTGTTCCTTTAAACATACTCCATTCTGCATATATATTAATTCTCCTGGTAAAAGTAGTCAACTTCAAACTTTATTTAATGCTAAAAGATTGTAAAAATAACTGATCTAAAGTTCTCGGTCAACGGTTTATTTATACTATTGACCTAATCTGATACAAAAAGAAATAGCAATATTTTATGTCACTGGTACACAAAGTATGTTATTGTTCATTTACTATTTTACATTTTTCTGAACTTTCATTTTTTTCTTTCTTTGCAGGTTATCCTGAGCTCTTGGCTCAATATGGTTGGAAGTTTCATACGATCTGCCAGTGTTATCTACTTCCTCAATACGCGCTCTAGTAATCTCATTTACTTATTCATAGGACAGTGTCTGTGTGCTGTAGCTCAGCCACTAGTTATATGTGTTCCAGCTAAGCTAGCAGCTGTATGGTTCCCCGAGCATCAAAGAGCAACAGCCAATATGCTTGCTGCAATGTGTGAGTATTCTAGAATTTTAGCAACATTTATTAAGAATGTGCTTGAATCCGTACTGCTGAAGTAGTACAATATGTATGAGTAGGACTCACTGCATATAACCTAGTAACTGTGAATAAAACGGTTATGAACAGAATACATTGTGATTTTAAAAATCTTTGTCTGGGCTGAACTGGTACTGTAGAAAACAATAAAACTTGTGACACAATTTGGCATTCACTTATGGGGACTGGCGAATCCCAGCAAAAGATTTTAACAGCTTAATTGTGGTCTTTCTTTCCTGTGATTACCACAATTGCATGCTAACAAGGGGTTAAAAACAACCGTCAGATTTTAAGTTTAACACTCATAAAAAAAACTATGTGAGGGTGAAATCCATATTCCCGTAGCCTAGCCCCTTTTTTAACTACAGGGGGCGCTAGGTGGCTAGCACCCACTTCTTCTAACCCTTGTTCTGTGCCATTCAGGGTAATTACCTATTAGAAGCCCAATAAATTACTCATCCCCTGGGGAGTAATGCATAAATAGTAGGCTATAGGGTTCCCAAGTTCCCTAGCCACATAATTACATAATAATAGAATGGGTGGAGGAGCAGTGTATTAGAATGAGGGGAGGGGGCAGTGTATTTGATTGGTGGGCAGTATAATAGAATGGGGGGAGGAGCAGTGTATTAGAGTGGGTCTGAATGGAGGCGCTGAAAGCTCCCCATGGAGCAAAGCTTTTTACCACACATGCACATGCCTCCCAATGCTTTCATATGGGAATTGGATTTGCATTGGATTAGCTGACATCATAAATTTTGATGATTTCAGCCAGAGTGAAAAACACACTCATAGGACTTCAAAATCAACAGGGTTACGATGTTTGTTTGTTTTTTACAGCTGTGCAACAGCATACATTCACCATTTCAATCCCATTACCAAACTTTTCTTAATATGTCAAGGTAGTTGGACTGAAACATTCATTATACAGTATGCACATGCACCTCTTCGTAAAATAAATTTGCTCTTTCGTTTACTTTGAAGCCCTTCGAGTTTAAGGACATCCAGTGTCAGGCAAATTTTTTTATACTGTACTTTTCTATGAAAACTAAAGTTTTTGGTTTTTTTGCGGCCCACATAAACGTAAACCTTGTTTATTTGGCCCGTGTTAGCCTTTGAGTTTGACATGCTTGCTCTAATATGTTATTGGGGTCTGAGGAAGGTCTAGCTTAATTTCTATATTTTTAAAAGTAATGCTGTAATGTTTCTTTTGTTATTTTATTAGTCCAATTTATTTATTCTTAAAAACAATTCATTAATACTCTTTACATCCCCACTTCCTTTATCGCCCTCTCTCCCTTCCCATCAGTTTTATTCCCTTTGTTGGTGTGAAAGGTCATGTGTACATTACATTACATTGTGTGTAGTTGTAAGAGGCTGTAGGAACATTCTTACAAATCTCTATGATAGAGTTAATACAGCCACAGCATGAATACACTGTGTAATCAATATCAGCTTTAAAAAAAAAAAGACCATGGATAAAGCTGTACACATGCTAATAGAAAACACCCTGTATTTCTTTATTAAACAGTCAAAATAAATACATTATAAGATCTGTTTGTTTCTCTCTCTAGCAAATCCTATTGGCATACTTCTAGCTAACTTAATATCACCGGCTGTTGTAACTGAGGAAACGTACATTCCAGTTTTGGTAAGTAAAATATTATGGACTGATATTTGTGTTACTCAAAAAGAAAAGCGAACACCAATTCCCTGGATCTCTTAGTTGTATCATGTTTTTAAAAGTCACATATCAAAGTTCTAATCACCATACCTTTTTAATATAGAATTACTTAAGAAACGTCCTTGTTTTGATTTTAACTTGATTTACTGTGTACTCATTGTAAATCACTCCTCTTTATATGGTTACTATTATGGGTGCAGTAGGTATTCTAACTGGTGTAATTTCCTCCGGCTATTTTTGTTTTCAATGCCCTCTAGATTGTAAGCCCACAAAATGTCTTGCAGAGCAATTTGCAGGAAGTGCTGCAGGCATTAGTGCAATGTAAAACATTGCTTTTTTGTAGACACTGCAATGTCTTAGAAACATAGAATGTGATGGCAGATAAGAACCATTCAGCCCATCTAGTCTGCCCAATTTTCTAAATACTTTCCTTAGTCCCTGGCCTTATCTTATAGTTAGGATAGCCTTATGCTTATCCCATACATGCTTAAACTCCTTCACTGTGTTAAGCTCTACCATTTCAGGTGGAAGGCTATTCCATGCATCCACTACCCTCTCAGTAAAGTAATACTTCCTGATAGGGATGACCCGATTATCAGTTTTACGGATATTCAGTATTTTCGGCCAATAGAGATACCGATATTGCCGATAATACATACCAGGACCGCCGGGCCCATTACAAGCCGTTGGCACACTACACACACACACACACTGCATTCACTTTACACACACCACACACTACATTCACTATACACACACTACACAAACACTCACACTCTGCATTCACTATATATATATATACACACTACACAAACACTCACTGCATTCACTATACACACTACACAAACACACCCTGCATTCAGGGGTCAAGTCCTGGGGAAAAAGGTGTAGGAACTCACCCAAGATTCCAGCCTCGCCTCCCCCCCCCCTTAAAAAAAAAAAAAATTACACTCCTATGCATATAGTGCAGTGCAGGGTGTGTATATTGAATGTAGTGTGTTTGTAGTGAATGCAGAGAATGAATAATAAATGTAGTGTGTTTGTAGTAAATGCAGTGTGAATAATAATTGTAGTGTATTTGTAGTGAGTGCAGAGTGTGTATAATGATTGTAGTGTATTTGTAGTGAGTGCAGTGTGTATAATAAATGTAGTGTGTTTGTAGTGAGTGCAGTGTGTATAGTGAATGTGGTGTTTTTGTAGTGAGTGCAGAGTGTGTATAATGAATGCAGAGTGTGTATAGTGAATGTAGTGTGTTTGTAGTGAGTGCAGAGTGTGTATAATGAATGTAGTGTGTTTGTAGTAAGTGCAAATTGTGTATAATAAATTTAGTGTGTTTGTAGTGAGTGCTGAGTGTGTACAATGAATGCAGTGTATGTAGTGTGTTTGTAGTGAATGCAGAGTGTGCATAGTGAATGTAGTGTGTAGTGAGTGCAGAATGTGTATAATGAATGCAGAGTGTGTATAGTGAATTCAGAGGGTGTATAGTGTATGTAGTGTGTTTGTAGTGAGTGAAGAGTGTGTATAATGAATGCAGCGTGTGCTGGATGATGTGTGTGTGCGCGCTGGATGATGTGTGTGTGCGCGCTGGATGATGTGTGTGTGAGTGCTGGATGATGTGTGTGTGAGTGCTGAATGATGTGTGTGTGTGTGCTGAATGATGTGTGTGTGTGTGTGCTGGATGATGGGTGTGTGAGTGCTGGATGATGTGTGTGTGGGTGCTGAATGATGGGTGTGTGAGTGCTGGATGATGGGTGTGTGAGTGCTGGATGATGGGTGTGTGAGTGCTGGATGATGGGTGTGTGAGTGCTGGATGATGTGTGTGTGGGTGCTGGATGATGGGTGTGTGGGTGCTGGATGATGGGTGTGTGAGTGCTGGATGATGGGTGTGTGTGAGTGCTGGATGATGGGTGTGTGAGTGAGTGCTGGATGATGGGTGTGTGCTGGATGGGTGTGTGAGTGAGTGCTGGATGATGGGTGTGTGTGCTGGATGATGGGTGTGTGGGTGCTGGATGATGTGTGTGTGAGTGCTGGATGAGGGTGTGTGTGTGAGTGCTGGATGAGTGTGTGGAGTGTGATGTGTGGGTGCTGTGTGTGAGTGTTGGATGATGTGTGTGTGAGTGCTGGATGATGTGTGTGTGTGTGAGTGCTGGATGATGTGTGTATGAGTGCTGGATGATGTGTGGATGGGTGTGTGTGTGTGTGTGAGTGCTGGATGATGTGTGTGTGTGTGTGAGTGCTGGATGATGTGTGTGTGTGTGTGTGTGTGTGCTGGATGATGGGTGTGTGAGTGCTGAGATGATGTGTGTGTGTGTGAGTGCTGGATGAGTGTGTGTGTGTGAGGTGCTGGATGATGTGTGTGTGTGTGTGTGGGATGATGGGTGTGTGAGTGCTGGATGGTGTGTGTGTGTGAGTGCTGGATGATGGGTGTGTGAGTGAGTGCTGGATGATGGGTGTGTGAGTGAGTGCTGGATGATGTGTGTGTGAGTGCTGGATGATGGGTGTGTGATGCTGGATGAGGGGAAGCATTTTTTTCTTACTTTATGTTATTTTATTCCCCCCTCCCTGCTTCTTACCTTGTCAGGGAGGGGGGAGATCGCCTGGTGGTCCGGTGGAGGGAGCCAGCCGCTGCACACAGGAGCCATCACACGCTGTGTTCCTTCTCCAGCTCTAACTCTCGCGAGACTCGCCTGTGCGGAGCGTTGCCATGGTAACAGCCGCGGGTCTCGCGAGAGTTAGAGCTGGAGGGGGAACACAGCGTGTGATGGCCCCTCTGTGCAGGTAGCAGGGCAGGTCCTGCAGGACAGGTAACGGGAACGACGTTCCTGCTTTGGAAAAAGTGCAGGAACGCCGTTCCCATGCGTTCCTGCAGGACTCGAGCCCTGCCTGCATTCATTATATACACACTACACAAATGCACACTGCATCCACTACACAAACACACACAGCTCCCCTGTCTAAACACACTGCATCCACTACACGTAGCATGTATATTTTGTGCATTTACCTTTAGAAATAGTTTATTTTTTCAAAATGGTAAATGTACAGAATATCGGCAAGTTATCGGCTATCGGCCTGAAAGTTCACAGATTATCGGCTCTAAAAAAAATCAATATCGGTCGATCCCTACTTCCTGATATTATTTTTAAACCTTTGTGTACAAAAAAAGGAAGATACAAGTGGGGCCCTTCAAGGATAATATACAGTATAAAGAAGGGTGAAAAAGGTGTTTCCCCCCACACCTTAATACAAATACAGAACAAAACAACACCTACAACAAAGTGTAAACAATCACACCAAGTAGAGGTGAACCCTTCAGACTTGATATAGTAATATAATACAAGTATACTTATGTATATAAATAGGAAAATCTTCACAATGTCTGCAAATAATAATAATACAGAACATAGTGTATACTGTTTATATAAACAACTAAAAGGGAATAAGTGGAACAACTCACAGATTGCAGAGCCGTGCCAGGCACTATAGCTCCCTCTGCCTCCCCTCTCCCTCTAGTAGCCCCGCCCAGGTGAATAAAGTGTAAAAAAAACCTTTATTTACTTATCTTATCCCAGTGCCATCCCTCAGTGATGGGTCAAGGCTGCTCCTTATCCGATGTCCAGCGACGTGCGGGTGCTAATGCGTATGCATGGCAAATGCTGCACGCGCATTAAACCTCCCATAGGTGCCTCCCAATGCTTTCCTGTGGGGAAAAATCTGACACTGGATGTTCTCATGCAGAGTGTAAGGACGTCCAGCACCAGTTACCGGACCAAAGATCTGTTTGGATCTCGGAAACGCCTCCACTGAAGTCAGACTTAGTGCTGCAATGTAAACATTGCAGTTTCTTTGGAACTGCAATGTTTTACATTGCAGCACTAAGTGCAATAAGAACACTGTACCCAGACCACTTTAATGAGCTGAAGTGGTCTGATGCCTATAGTGTCCCTTTAAATCTTTTCTTAACAAATCTTTTTTTGGAATATAGGTTCTCTTTAAAACAAGCACTCTAAACACCATAACGTCTGCAATCTACTGTAATCCTTAGGATATCCAACAGGTTCATTGCACATTTCCCCAGTTCTACGTCACATTGTGTTTGAGTGGTTCAAACTGTATTTGAAACAAACCGAGGTATCCCTTGTTCAGCATATTGCAGTCTTTGAACTACCACATTAGCAATATTAATTCCATCCATATTTAAATTACATTCATTTGCTGAGTGTGTTGGTTGACATGCTCAGCCAAATAATGTCATTGGAGTTTGGCAAAATTTATATTTCTAATGCAGAAGTGTAACTTTCTAAACTGCATATACTAGGTAAGGGTTTAGCAATTGTGCATAGGTCTGTGTAAAACTGCTAGAAAACAGTGTTGTAAATTACCAAAGCAATGCATATGGCACCATAACCATTACAACGGACTGTCAAATAGATAAATATAGAAAAATAGTGACACATAAAATTACTCACATTTGAAGAAGCATTTCTGACTGTGATTACCTTTCTCAAATGATGTTTGTTACTTCTGAAGTTCTGTATAAAATAGTAAAAAAAAAATAGGAGTCAGAAGTAATATTTTCAAGATCTCACCAACTTGAAGAATCATGCTGAATTATTAAAACTGTCTAATTAATATGAATTCAGCAACTTGTGGATGTCTGCAATCCAATAATATGACTCTAAACAAAAACAAAGCATTGTCATAGTTTATAGGGGATGCAGTTCTTGAATATCTTCAGGGTTAAGTAGGGGTAACCAGTAAATGTACAGCATGTACACAAAGTCTAGGGTGCAAATGATATTAAGGCCCACCCCATCTAAATCAATAATCATATAGTTAAAGAAATACCCGCACTCCCGTAATCAGTAAAAATCTAATTTTCTTTCAATATATAATTAATAGAAACATGCAAGTATATCTATACACACCTATCAAATCAACATTCGATCCTCAATCAATAAACACAATATAAATGTGTCTTACAAATGTATGTAATACAAAGTGATTTAAATAAATAATAATCAAATGCATATAAATAAAGACCAAAAAAAAATTATTTTCTGCACTAAATATTTACCTAACAAGTGGACAGAGCAAAACACCCAACATTTCGGCTAGTTATTCACTAGTTAATTCAAAGTAAACTTTAGATTCTAGGCCAACATTAAACACATAGCAAAAAATGTCCTAATCAGCTTTTTTGGGGTTACATTTTGAAATTAATTTTGAATTCACAACAATTCACACATTAGTGAGTAACACTAGTCCTTTAGTTGTTCTAGTAAAATGTATTGAGGAAGATTTGAAAAATGAGAATTTATCTAAACATTTTTATTGGAAATTTTGCCAGGAGTGTCAACAGCAGTATGGATGTTGGGATTACATTAACATATACCCTAGATGACCGATTCCATTTAAAGATAAACAAAACGAAAGAATACGGCAAAGCATCATACATTATATATCTTAAAGAGGGGACTGAAAAACGAGAATTTAATTCCAACACTTTACCAGATCTAAAACAAAGAATGTTGCAAACTAGTACTGTATGAATAAGACAATTATGCTTAAACTACAGTCATATTTTATAAAAGTGCATATTTTAAGAGAAATAGGCACTTTTAAAAATGTCATTAGTGACACTTCATGGCTGCCAAGCAGACAACTAAATGGGTGCCGTGCCTATAGGTCAAACCTGGGGTGAGTGATCCCTTTAGAGAAGCAATGGTTTAAATGATGACTTCACATGGGGGGAGACTAGCTGCACCTTAGATACTCTTCTGGAGCTGGAATAAAGGTGAGTTTAATTCATTTGTAATTAATTTGGGAAACGGCAGTAATGTAAACAGCTTAAGATACACTCATTTAATTATATATATACATATATACACATATAGTGTTTTAATTATACCTTTAACATTGTACTTGTGATCATACTGGAGGAAATCACTAGTTTCTTTTTTTTAAATTACATTGAACATTATATATTGATTTACTGGTTGTTGTAATTTGTTCTTTTTAAAGTTTGGAATATATGGCATCCCTGCAGTATTAGCGTGTGTCATGGCAACTGCTGGAATTTCCGAGAAAGAGCCTCCAACCCCACCCTCTGCGAGTGCAGTCAATTTGGTGCCTGAGCCTTTTTTTTCTGGTTTAAAACAGGTGAGCTTCATGGAAAAAGAAGGAATCTTCAAGAACTCATAATTGAGAAATTTATTTTAACATCCACTAGAGTCACCAAAACAAATTTAGGTTAATGAAGCAATTTTGGTGTATAGATCATGGCATGCAGTGTCACTGCTCAATTATCTGCCATTTAGAAGTTAAATCCCTTTGTTTATGCAACTCTTGTCACACCTTATACTTCCTTTATTGTGCAGTCTGTTTAATTAAGAATGTATTTTCTCCTCCACGGTTAAATACTTGCTAAAATAGGAGTCTCCTGTGTGTGATCAAAGTTCAATTTACAGAGCAGGAGATAAAAACTTATAACATAAGTTAATATCTGAATGTAAATGAAACCATCTTTTGCAGGCTGTTTGAGTCATGCCAGGGAAAATGTGGCTAGGGTTGCATGGACAGAAACATGTAATTTAACTCCTAAATGGAAGAGAATTAAGCAGTGAGACTGCAGAGGCACGATCTCTACCCCAAATCTGCTTCGTTAAGCTAAATTTGTTTCGGTGATTACAGTGTCCCTTTAGTTCAGTATGTTAAATGTCCTGTTAATCTGGTTCTAATTAGCCACTTTTTAAAATAATTTTTTTAATATTTATCAATACCCCTGTTGAACAGAATTGGAAAATCAGTCAAATCTAGAGTTTTGTCTTAAGGACTGAATTGGAAATCACTAATCTCAATCAATACTACTAATAGATCACACTCTTAGACTTAACATTAACACCCTGTCAATGACCCTTGGTATTAAATAGTTTTGTATTGTTAGAAAATTTTGAAGGAATTTAAAGTCAAAATTTCTGTCAAAAGCTGACGTAGAAAAAGTATCAAAGGCAATTTCTCTTTAGTTTGGTCATTTTGGCATTTAATTTAAATTCACTTTGAATTCCAGGCAATTCTCACTTTACTGGATAACCCTATAAAAATGTCAGCCTCTCGTTGACCCAGTTTATATGAAAGTAAGGATTTCTCACATTTTAGGATGCAAGACTGTATCCCAAAATACAATTATTTACTCTAGAACTATATTTCCAAAACTGCATTCAATTACAAAAATATAACTGCAAAGTTTAGGAAAACCCAGGGATTAGTCATAATGCCTAAAACTAAACACCATGCAGGGGCATATGCATACCACGCGGTTTTGTGTTTTGTCAGGACCCAAGGCTTGAAAAGAATGTCTAGAGATAGCGCTGACAACCAGTATGATGTTCCTAGGAACAGATTATTTACTAATGTGCACTGTTTAAACCAATTTACTCACAAAATGTCTGAATATTCTTTTTTACAGCTAATGACAAATAAGGCTTACATCATCCTTATGTTGAGCTTTGGATCAGGTGTTGGTCTTTTCACAGCATTTTCTTCATTTCTGGAGCAGATTTTGTGTTACAAGGGATATTCAAATGTAAGTCTATTCAATATTCTCTCTTTCAACTTGTAGTTTCTCTAGACATTTATAGTAGTGGCCATGATGCCAGTTGTATCTTGGTACCATTCCCCGCTAATGGAGCAAACCATTTTGCAACAGTTTGCCCTCTTATCTTGGTCCCCATTGGGTGCTGAGCCTCCTCTGACCTGGATGACACGCATCCGGCTGCTGCAGAGTCCAGATTCTGATTCCCCCATCATTCATTGGCTGCATGACCGTCTGTGCAAAAGAATCACTAGGAATTTAATCATGAGCTCTTGTCCAGGCTGGCGAATGATATACTAATGACACTGCTGTAGGTGGAGTTACACCTCTGACAGCAATATTAATTATCACACTGAAACACTTCACACACAGACGCTTGGAGTAAACCTTTAACTTAATGTTTTAGTATGTTTCATTAGACATCGGGTTATAAGCATGTTCTTAATTCCTTAATTGTAATATAGTCATTTTCCATTCAGATGTCAAAAAATATTTAAGTGCAGAGATCTGAGTAGACTAAAGAAAGGGAAATAGCCTGGGAGGGTCAGATTGCTTACTGGGTAAAAGGACTGTACACTTTTTAAGACCACATCTTATGCCTCAACAATGTTAAACAATGGTGCCCTGGCACATAATTAAGTGTTCTTGCATAGCAAGACCACTTAATGTTATCTCACATATATATTATTAAGTGTTCTTGCATAGCAAAACCACTTAATGTTATCTCACATATATATTATTCTTATTCTTATTATAGCCAAATTTACCACCTAACTCCTCCCACAGTTTTTACACTACATAGACAGTAATATACCGAAATGTGCGGATTGTTCCCTATTGGATTGCTATTACTTTGTGGAATGTTTCGCCGAATGGTTCAGGGAATATCATCGTTCTTGTGGCGAAATTGGTCCCATAGGAATGAATGGCAAAATGTTCAAAACTAGAGTGGGAGCTGGCAAAAGCTGAAAAATCAGGACATGATTTCTAAACTGCCACCACTCCCTCATTTTCAAGCCCACCTACACAAATCTTATATCAAAACGTATCCCTGCTGCCACTAAAAATACACGGCTAAGCCATAGTCCTGATAGTTTTCACGATATGACTATTTGTTTGCAACTCACACCATCCATTGACATTCATTGAAACTCCACTCCATCCAGCTTAAATTTGAAGGGCAATTTCTAAACTGTGACTGTGCCTTCATTGTTAATATTTCAGAGACATACTATGCATCAAAATGTAGGTCGGAGTCTTGTGATTCTCACAATATAAAGCTCTTCGCTGTAGGATGTATAGTTTTTAAAATACGACCGTTTGAAGATGGTAACCGCCAAAATACTCTGACCTGTGTCAGGCTGCAGCAGCAAGTGATGTCATAGACAGGGCCTTTTGAACACCTGCTAATGTTTTTATAAATGTATGGTTTAATGTAACTGTGAAGCACTTTGGGCAACAACGTTGCAATTAAATGTGCTATATAAATAAATAATAACAGTTACTCCGCACACTCCAGTTGTAGACTACTGGTGGAGGCAAGAACACGTCACACACTTTCCCCAGAAATTGTAACTTTTCTAGTATTAAGTCTACTGTTGAAATATAAATATTGCTAATTTTTTCATATGCCAGTTAGTTCTTTTTAATTTTTTTTTAATATTTTTAGTCTTTAAGATTTGTAATCTTTAAGTGACAAAGTAAAAAAATTAGTTCTTAAAAGTAGAACTATTTGTTAGATAAAAAAAAGATTAACAATACATCTGACTTGTCTATAGTGACTATTTCTGTATGTCTAAGACATTTTGGGGAAAAAAACATTCAACATACTGAATATGGGACTGACTACCAATTAATGTTCTTGTTTTGCATTTCTTAGTTTTTTGCAGGTTTGTGTGGGGCCCTCTTTATCTTCTTTGGTTTTGTTGGGGCTTTGCTATGTGGATTATATGTTGACAGAACAAAGAAGTTTACAGAAGTTGTCAAGATATGTTTCTGCCTTAGTTCACTAGCAAGTATTGCTTTTGCAGTGGTGAGTAAATGACCTTGTATTGATTTTTTTATAGTAATAATTTAAATAAAAGTACATTTTCTTTTAGTAATTTGTCCTGTGGGGATGATCATTTTATGTTTATGGTGACACTTCAGGAACCTACACACGTTTTATGCCTTGTATGTATGCCTTTTACCCAACATGTATTCATTACCCTTGAGAGTGTAATCGTGTTTGAGCAGGGCCCTCATCAACCTATTCTTCCTGTTAAAATGTCTTGTTTGTTGTGAATTCCCCCTGTTATAATGTTGTAAAGCTACAAGGAAGAGGATGGCACTATATAAATTCCAGTAATAATAGTAATAATTAACACTTTTTATACATATCATCCGGTGTTTGGCGTCCAATAATGTACACATTGTAAGATTTTTAGCACCAATAAAAATCAAAAGCTGCATCCGGCAGTCTATATATAGTTTTAATTATATGGACAGTGGTGTAAATTAGGACCAAATGAGGTCCTATTTAAATAACTAAACTTTTTCCAATGTGTAATATATCTTCTTATACACTTTATAGGTATCAAGCTTGCGGGATCAGGCTGTTTGGCTTGGAATTATATCTTTGTTATTTGGATTTTTTGGGTTTGCAGCATACCCGATAGCTATGGAATTAGCTGTTGAATGTTCCCATCCCGTTGGAGAAGGAACTTCCACTGGATTATCTTTCATCTCAGGGTAAGTAGACATATAAAATGAAGCATATGTAAAATAAAAGATTAACAGGAGCCTTGGGTGCAATCTGACTCAGTACTTTGACACACAGACACACACACTAGAAAGTATTCACGATACACACAATGTGTATAGGTTGTAGATATGCCACCTCTGCCATATTTTTTTCATAAAGCATTTTACATAGATGCTTTTGTGTTTTTAGTTGCCCTAGACTAAGCCAAATCTATCCACCCCTCCATACAATTTATCACATCCTACATTGTGGGGATATTTATGGGATAATAATAGTAACAGTTGAGAATTGCCCACTAATTCAATTCTCAGATCCCAAATATCGTTATCGTGTTAAGTGAGAAGTATTTCATATAAATAATATTCACAATTTGTTATAAAAATAGATTTTATTTATAATAACAAGTTAATTAATAATAAGATGTAACATGCGTGACAATAATCAATGAATATTCAGTATAAAATGATATGCAATACAAAGGAATGGCTATAGACATTTCAATGGCTAAACAGCATTTTCTGTCAAGACTTAGACGATTTATGACTATCTTTCACAGACATAGAGGGAAGCTTTTCACAGCGAAGGGCCATAAAACCCTGGCTAACAGTTAGAATAACCCTTTCAATGCTGGCTAGACCTCCTAGGTAATTAAGATCTATTCTTATGTAATTTTAAATAAAATAACATTTAAACCAGTTCATTAGTCATTTCCTGGAACCATCCAATAAGAGAATCTACCATGTTATATAAGCAGAATTTGTCTAAAAGATATCTATCTTATATTAGAGCAAATCAATACACCTGGATAAAAACAGCGGTATGCTAACACGTGATAATATCACCTTAATATATAATTATTCTTAATTCCACCTGCAGAATGGAATGTTTATAACTATATATTCTTTAGTTAACTAAGATTTCTTAATATGGAAATCTGACCGTGCTTTATCCAGTCATATATAATGCTATTAATACATTTTAATTAATTTAATTAATTAAATGAAACCAGTATAATTACCAGTTGAGTAGATATTTCATCCGATTGGTAGATAGTCTCAGGAACTTATTTGGATGTCTGTAGGTGCATGGAGTTATGGTGAAAGGTGGTGTTGGTTAGAAAGTCAGTAAAATTCTAAGTGTTAGAGTTTTAAGAGTAGAGTATTAGTCTCAGATGTTGTGAGTTGGAGTCCCCATACTTCCAATTCCTCTCTCCTCTTTTTCTTTCTCCTTTGCATTTCCAATCTTCCCTTTGTCCTAACTTTTAAAGGGCCAGACTCTCTGTACGTCATCAGTTGATAACCCAATAGAAGCACTAGAGGTGTGGTTATCTTCCAGATCACAATTTAGTTATTTGATCTATAGAGGGCAGTCTTGTCCCACTAAACATACCTATCCAGGAAAGAGTTAACTTTTCCTGGTGGCTATTTTGACGTCATTTTGCGTTATCTTTATAGTGCCATAATTTAACATTTCAAAGGGTTTCTTTAAGTTTTGTCCAGACTATGTCTGGCAAATCTGAGTTTTGACCCATAACTTACAATGGGACCTTATACATATAGACAGTCTGTCCAACCCCCGTTCTTCTTATCACTTTTGTTTATACTATGCATTCCTTTAGCTCTGGGAAACTGGTTAGTTTACAGATAGAAATCTTGTGTCTTTTTGTTAACTTGGAAATAACAAAAATGGAGTCTGCTCTGTTCAGAGTGACTCAGAATATACACTTTTAATTTCTATCATAGCACAAGATGTCTGCCGATATAAATACCCTGACAACATGGGAATTCCTTACTTACATACCGTATATACTCGAGGATAAGTCGACCTGAATATAAGTCGAGACCCCTAATTTTACCCCAAAAAACTGGGAAAACTTATTGACTCGAGTATAAGACTAGGGTGGGAAATGCAGCAGCTACTGGTAAATTTCTAAATAAAATTAGATCCCCAAAAAATTATATTAATTGAATATTTATTTACAGTGTGTATATAATGAATGCAGTGTGTGTGTGTATGAATGCAGTGTGTGTGAGTGCAGTGTGTGTATGAGTGCAGTGTGTGTGTGTGTGTGAATGCAGTGTGTGTGTATGTATGTGATGCAGAGCCTTGGTGGGGGGTGGGCATTTTTATTTTTTTATATTATTATTTTAATTAAAAAAAATATATATTTATTTTTTTATGTTATTTTTTTTTTTTTCGTCCCCCCTCCCTGCTTGATACATGGCCAGGGGGTGGGCTCTCATTCCCTGGTGGTCCAGTGGTGTGCACTGTGCAGGAGGGTGCTGGCAAAGAGCTGTTACTTACCTTTCCTGCAGCTCCTGTCAGCTCCCTTCTCCTCCGGTCCGGTCAGCTCCCCTGTCAGCTCCACTGTAAGTCTCGCGATGTGACTGCCGCGTGATGCGTTGCCACGGCTCTGACCCCGCAGCTCTCGCGAGACTTGCAGTGGAGCTGACAGGCGAGCTGACCGGAGGAGAAGGGAGCTGACAGGAGCTGCAGGAAAGGTAAGTTACAGCTCTCTGCCAGCCCCCAACAGGACTGCCGGGCTTGTAATGAGCCCGGAGGTCCTGGTCTGTATTATGGCAATGTAAGTTGCCATAATACAGACACTGACTCGAGCATAAGACGAGTGGGGGGTTTTCAGCACAAAAAATGCGCCGAAAAACTCGTCTTATACTTGAGTATATAAGGTAATCTTATGCCAACCTACAAACATGTACACTCGAAATAACTGACACTCACATATACACTCGGGATACTTTACACACTTCAGCACACTAACATACACATAAGAAAATAAATAATGTAAATAGTCTCCCTTATCTGAATTTGTAGTGAAGGGAAGGGAAGGTGAAGGGGTCTGATCCCTTAGTAAAGTGTAAAGGTTAATAGCTTACCTGGTTTTAGAGGGTTAAAGGAGCATTCTAAGTGTTACCAATTTTTTACTTTGGAATGTTCCTTTACCAACCAAGATTAGACCATTAAAGGGACACTGTAGTCACCAGAACAACTATAGCTTATTGAATTTGTTCTGGTGAGTAGAATCATTACCTTCACGCTTTTTGCTCTAAACACTGTCTTTTCAGAGAAAATGCAGTGTTTACATTACAGCCTAGTGATAACATCACTGGCCACTCCTCAGATGGCTGTTACAGATCCTTCCTGGGTCATGGCTGCCTAAAATACATCCAAACATTCAGTATCTCCTCCCTCTGCATGCAGACACTGAACTTTCCTCATAGAGATTAATTGATTCAAGGAGAGGAGATGCTGATTGGTCAGGGCTGTGTTTGAATCATGCTGGCTCTGCCTCTGATCTGCCTCCTTGTCAGTCTCAGCCAATCCTATGGGGAAGCATTGTGATTGGATCAGGCCACCACTTCCGATGCTGTCAGCAGACAGTTTGTTTTTCTGAGGCAAACAGCATGCAGATCTACAGCTTCAGGCTTGAATACAGTAAGATTTTGCTATATTTATGGAGGCATGAGGGGCCAAGGGGGGCTAGATGATGGTTTTAACACTATAGGGTCAGGAATACATGTTTGTGTTCCTGACCCTATAGTGATCCTTTAATTTGTAGTTGTAACAGTGCATACATGTTATTCCTCCTGACATTACTTTACGTTCACAAAAAAATAATTGTATATAGTGCTATGGGCCAGATGAATACTTCATTCAACTGTGTCCCTGTCAGTAATAAAACCATGATCTGACTGCTTAACTGCTATTTCACTGCTTTTAATTTATTAAATTAGTCATCATTTCTGACTAAAAAAATCCTACATGTCGAGTGCTCTTTATCTACTCTGTATTATACCGAGCCAGCAGACATGAAGCCAATAACGTAAAGCAATCAATTACAATTATTTATATGCGCCAACATAGTCCACTGCGCTGTACAAGAGGTAAACAAAACAAACACAGAATTCTAACAAAACTTGATCGACGTGCAGTAGGTGAAAAGGGTAAATAACTGCACAATTTGTGTTATATATGCAGCAATGCCACCACAGCCATGCACTTTTTGTAGTTTTTGTCTTAAGTTTAAGGGTCAAATTGCATTCATTACATTCCATAGAACAAGTCTCCTCTGGGGTAGTTTAGCAGTTCACCAAGTGAAATAGACCTTACAAGCATTTTTATAAACTAAACAGTATGTGATATTTCAATTCTTGCACTCTTTTTATAGTTGCAATAACTGTAATTATATATGTCTCCTCGACCACAATAAATAAACTTACTTACTGCCTGACTATCCACACAAGTGCCAACTTGTACCTAACTGAAAACTACAGAATTGAAGGGACTATCTAAACAAAATCTTTTTAAGTGTATGATTTTTTTTTTTTGCTACTTTACTCTAACAAACCACAACATCACCACTATCATCCAAACACAATTCTAAAATAAAAATATTTGATAGAAACTTAAAAAAACACAAAAAAAACACACAGCTTCTTGTACAATAAAAAAAATTAAAAGACTGTGATCCTGTGTTTAAGTTAAAAATAAAAATGTTTTGGGGATTTGGGCACTTTTCATAAGCACTCCCCAAATCACAATGATGGGGAAGGAAAAGGACAGACCCAGACAGCATTTACTAATACAGGTTGTGTTTGATAATAAGACCCATGTGTTTTATCTACAGTTACAGTCATAACATATGCAAAATGTTGGATCTTGGATCAGGCAGATAAACCACATCACTGGTCTATAAACATTCTATTGTCTCATATATGCAAAGCTAGTGGTTAAACAAGCATAGTGCAGCAATGTGGAGTGACTGAAATATGTTTTATTCCCAAACTAGTCAGATCCAGAGCTTGATCTACATGCTGCTCTTACAAAGCCTCACCAGAACAGTTGCTGCCTCTTCATTATCTTCATGTGGTGAGGGCCAGATTGAGATATCTGACTGGTCAGGTAAGTTATTAACATCCACTTCAAAACATGTATGTGTTTATTCTACAGAACGATTATACAGGCATGTTTAATAGAAGTTTAAATTTAATTTATTTCATTCTACTTTAGGGTCTATTCATTGAATTGCAAGTGGTACTCATTTCAGTGCTGGTTATTTAACTATTGACGACAAAGGGAAATTTAAAATGGACACTCCGCTGCCCAAGCAGATAGTAAATCAAACTGACCTAGCCAAGGGTACCTATAGCTGTTTTATGATTGGAGCTATAAACATGAAAGCATATACGCATTAACACATTTCAGAATATAACGAACAGGGCCCTGAAAGAGGTGGGCATATGTCTCAGGGCATTTTTTTATACAAGTACTTGTGATTCCCCTGGGGAGATTTTAGTTGCTGTTTCCTAGATACTTTGATGCCTTTATTATAAGACTTATTTTTATGATAAAGCAAAAATATTTATAAAAAAAACAAAACAAAAAAGAAAATCCAATAAAATAAGGCAAGGTGTAGCAGGAACTGCTTTTTTTTTATTATCAATGTGAACACCGAAAGATAGACATTTGTGTAATAGGAAATATTAACAATCACAACATCTTTATGGACGCATGTCTCTTTTCAGCCTAACCTATGTAACTATAACAAGGGCAAACCAGACATGGTGGTACTGCTTTATAATAATGTTGTTAGATGTTTTTTTATTTTGTATTTTATGTATGCAGACTATATGATTTAGGTATATAATTCCTGCATAATGAGTTATGTTGAGTTGGCAAAGGAGTTGAAAAATTAGGGTACAAAATTGCTAACACTGAAAAAGAAAATACCCATCGAGCCCATGTTAAACATATATATTTTCCCCTTTTTTTTTAAACTACGTCATAAGCTTGGTACAACTAAGATTTTAATATATAAAACCTTAAAGGAACACTATAGGGTCAGGAACACAAACATGTATTCCTGACCCTATAGTGTTAACACCACTATCTAGCCCCCCTGGGCCTCTCATGCCTCCATAAATATAGTTAAAATCTTACTGTATTCAAGCCAGAAGCTGTAACTCTACATGCGGTTTGCCTAAAAAAAAAGAAAAAATAGTCTGCTGACATCATCAGAAGTGGTAGTCTGATCCAGTAGTGCTTCCCCATAAGATTGGCTGAGCCTTTCCCCGCCCATGCGGAGCTCAGTCTGTGTGGTGCCCTCCATGGGTGAAGATGGATAATTTTTTTAGTGTCAGGTTTTTTTCTTTTTGTCGTATTTTAATTTTTTTTGCGCTTGGGTTTTTTATTTTATTTTCAAAGTCCACCGCTCATGGGTGGAGGCCGGAGGAGACAATAGGTCCCCCCACCCCCATTTTCATTTAGGGCACCCACCCACCTCTCAGGGGTGGGGGCCGGGAGGGAGGACATTCGAATGAAATTACGAACTGAGCAAAGTCCCGAAATGCATCCTAACAAAGATGAACAAACTGTTCTCATTCTGTTAGATCGAAATTCGGTAGTTTGGCCGGCGTTCTGTCTAAATGACAGGACATTCAGAAATACTGACAGGAAGCATCGCAAGATCACGGATTAAAGGTGAGAATTGTGGGAAAATTGCTCTGACCACCAGAAATGAAGCACACTTTGCTCCTCTGCTGGTCATAGCTGGTCAGGCTTAGGAAACCTCCATAAGACAAAGTAGTCCCTACTTTATCTTATGTTTTAAAGAAAACTAGAGCAGATAGGAAGAAATGAAGAACAGATCCTGACAGAGGGAGAGAAGAGGAATCGATTGGGGAAAGGTAAATTCGGCATGACAGTGCCACTTTAAATATGTACCCCACAAAAATCAAGACAAGGTGGAGCTTCCAAGTTCTATGCAAACAGGGCCTAATCATATTCCAGAATGACCTTATTTAGTGATAAAGAGGCTATGAGCTTGTTACAATATATTTATAGAATAGGATTCTGAGAAAGTTACCAGTTAATCTAAAGAATGCTGTTTTTGTGTATTTTCCAACAGTTTCCACATTGGTTATGGCTGGCTTGGGCAGCTTGGGATCTTGTGTCTTTGTCATCTTCTTTCATACGGACTACAAACGATTACAATTAGAAGGAAAGTCTACGGATAATGAGGAAATCCCTGGTGTAACAAGTTCTTAATGTCTGTTTGTAGAGTCATGTTTTTATGCAATACTGCTTTTTACTAGGCCAGTTACAAAGTGTCATATTATGGAATGATGTGTAATATATTTTTTAAATCATTTACATTAGGCATATGTGCAATTATTATCTAGACCTTTATTTCTACCCAGTCCCGGTGCAAGGATATTTGGCTACACAGCAAAGATGCATTTTGCCAACACCCAACAACACTCTTCACGCCTCCTTGAGTAATTCCATACATGTATTTTTCCCATAACATGTATAAGGAGTTAGCTTTTATTACCTTTTTTGCACTAGTGAAGAGGCTGGTAGCAGCAGCTGATAATTAGAAGTAACATGGTCGGAAACCAGTTGCGAAGTATAAGCTTTCATTTAAATGGCTTCGTCAATAAGCAAAACTGTCTTTTCTTGGATATAGAAAATACACGGATAATTCATCAGCACCAATTGCACCCTTTCAAATGCACCTTCTGGAGGTGAGTGGCCTTGCAGGAAGTTACCAGCAGAAATTCGAGCACTAGAGCAGCAAACATTAACTAAGGTTATGAACAATGCAATTGAAAGAGCCTGACTTTGCGATGCAGCAAAAGGAGCTCGTTTAAAAGATGTCATCTTCCGTACAGTCAAACAAATCTCTATACATTAAGCATTCATTGTATGCAATATCATTGAACTTGGTTAATTAATAAAATATTGACTGTTCAACCTTACCCTAAATTTTCACCCACCCTGTAGAAACAAGATTGTAATAAAGCCCTTATAGACTCCTGGTTTCCTGGGAGCATTTGTATCGTTGTACGTCTCATCCCAATGCAGGAATGTTGTTTGAGAAGTACAAAGATCACGTGAGTAGCTTAAAATCATCTTAAATAATATATATTTTTAAAATTGTACACAATATTGTACCTTGAGTTAATTTGCACTTGTGTAATAATTATTATTATTAATAGGCAGCTAAGCCAGCTTTAAATACATATAAAAAAAATGATTTACCTTTTTATGTATTTAATTATTTCAGATAGAGGCTTAAACTCTAAAGGGACTAAAACAGAGAAGCCCCAAATTTGAGGTTTCTACACCTAAATGATTATTTCATATCTTCCCTATTTCCTCATCTACCAGCGGTTGCTCAGCTTATTAATACTTTTGTTTGTGTACGTATCATTTTCTGTCGTGGCAGGGTCAAGGGTTTCACTTCTTAGTTGGTAGGTGTTCAGTAGTGGCCTGTGTACGAGTCAATGGAGTTCTCTCTAAACTGGTTATTAGCTGGAATGGTACTTGGCAGGGTTTTTTTCTCTCCCTGCAAGTTTTGATTCTCTCTCTAGATAGAGGCAGTCCATGGTGGAGATTGCATATCTGGCTTTCCCGGGCGGTGAAGTAATGCGCTTTATGTGGATGCCCTGTTTGGAGTATATGCACAAAACGCACAACTTGGGGAGGTGATCCCCAGAGAGTTCAGTGATGGCCCTGGCACCTTTTCTCTTTATCTAAAGACGTGCTCTTCCACCCTATCCCACCTGCATACAGTTTATAGTGTCTGCCCTCTGACCTTTAAACCCCAGTTGTTTTTTTCTGTTATTATATGCAAATACATTTTAATACCTCATATGCAAGATATTGTCACCTAATACAACCTCATTTGTTTGATTCTGTACTGACAAACACTTTAAATGTGAGATTCTTAAATGTTTACTTTATTTCTTTGTTGATTGTATTTTTACTTTGTATGATAATTGAAGCTCTGGTGTACATTCTAGTGCCTTCAGGGTGACTTGTTGATACAGGATATTATGTCACTTAATACAACATCTCCCTTATTTTGTTTGATTCTGTGCCAACAAATACTTTAAATTAGACATTCTAAAATGTTTATTTCCTTGTCTTTTAATATATTTTTATTTTCTTCTTTCTCAATTAAAAATTTGTATGTTTTGTTAAAGAAACTTTTTTCCAGAAATATTGTCAAGAAAAAAAAAAAGTTTTTGTTGAGCTGTCTTGGACTATCGTGTTGCTATAAGATGAGAGTTAAACATATGTCTGATGCAGTTTTCCCTCACTTCAAAGTCTTACTGTCCTAAAAACAGTAGTATACAAAGTATATACCCTCACTTCATCACATGCCAAATGACTGTCTTAATAAGAGTAATAATGTACAACTGTTAAATGTGGTGTTTATTTTATAATAATGCTTGAATCTAAACGTTATCAACTTTTATGGGTTTGTGTGAGATTCGTGGTTTGATTTATCTCCAACTAAAAATGTTTATTTTGTTAAAAACACATAAAACAAAGGTTTACAATTTTAGCACTCTAATTTTATGTGCATCAAAAAAAATAAACAGGACACTGCAATCAATAATGTGTGATTTTCCAAGTTTTTCTAATAAACTTTACAATTAAAGGGACACTATAGTCACCTAAACAACTTTAGCTTAATGAAGCAGTTTTGGTGTATAGAACATGCCCCTGCAACCTCACTGCTCAATCCTCTGCCATTTAGGAGTTAAATCCCTTTGTTTATGAACCCTAGTCACACCTTCCTGCATGTGACTTGCACAGCCTTCTATAAACACTTCCTGTAAAGAGAGCCCTATTTAGGCTTTCTTTATTGCAAGTTCTGTTTAATTAAGATTTTCTTATCCCATGTTAATAGCTTGCTAGACCCTGCAAGAGCCTCCTGTATGTGATTAAAGTTCCATTTAGAGATTGAGATACAATTATTTAAGGTAAATTACATCTGTTTGAAAGTGAAACCAGTTTTTTTTCCATGCAGGCTCTGTCAATCATAGCCAGGGGAGGTGTGGCTAGGGCTGCATAAACAGAAACAAAGTGATTTAACTCCTAAATGACAGTGAATTGTGCAGTGAAATTGCAGGGGAATGATCTATACACTAAAACTGCTTTATTTAGCTAAAGTAATTTAGGTGACTATAGTGTTCCTTTAAAGTAAGGCATGGATTTATTTATTTTTTTTAAATAATCCATCAACCAATGAGGAAACTTTTCTAAACTGGTCTGACATAAAATTGTTCCGTTCTCTTTACTAAACTAATCCATGAACATTAGCCTTAAAATTCTAAGAACTCTTCTAATCTAGCAACCATGGTTAGGCAACTGTTTCTGCAATCCTCTACTTGTACATTTATGGAAGAATGCTTACTCATTGACAGTAATTACCATGTTTTCAACACCTGGAAAGTCATTGCATCAAATATATGTATTATCTATACAGAACTGGCTATAAGACTGACTCTGGATGATTATTAAAGGGACACTGTAGCATTAGAAATACATGACTTTATTCCGAACCCTATAGCCTTCAAAAAGCGCATGCGCGTCACTTGCCGAAATCTGCCAATAATTCTCTTGTCATAGTGCATGCTATGATTCTCCACGATAGACCATGACGGTACTGCGCATGTGCGCATAACATCATGGTAAGCCTGGGTGTGACAGCCAGGAACTAACAGGCCCGGCTCTCCTATCCAGAGAAGCCATGCCTCCAAACTTCTAACTACTAAAATGATGTGATTTGGGGCCACTAAGAAAGGGGGAACTACTGAGGGCACTATAACAACTTTAATTAGATGCTGTTATAGTGAGTACAGCATACCATTAAGCTCACGTGAGGGGAGTGAAGCACCAAGACAACAGTCACATCTCATATTGAAAATTTAGCAAGTTGTAATTAAACATTCTGCTACCTATACTGGGAATATCTTTAAATAGAAGATGTCTGGATAGTGGTATTTCCTCTTATTTATTACAAACTAGTCTCTCATTTGCAAAGTAGCCCCTAACATGTCCTATACGAAAAAGACCATTATAGAAATACGTAAAGACAAACCAACTACCTGCATTATTATAGCAGTACACACCTTCATACCTGTATAGTAGATTACTACAAATATTTGAATTTCTAAATTTTAGGATGAGAGGTGTAACACCCCCCACCCCAATTGAAATAGTGATGTTTTAGCTCTTTAAGCTAGATAAGAAAACCAAAAATACTTTAAATAAATTACTTATTTTTATTAACCTCCTCCTCTGTTAATAGCTTGCTAGACCTGCAGGAGCCTTCTGTATGTAATTATTTACCGAGCAGGAGATAAAAACTTTTAAGGTTACACTGTTGGGTCAGGAAAGCCCTTTCCCCTATCTGTCTGCTTGTCTGACATCATCAGAAGTGTTGCTCAATACCAAATCACAATACTTTCACATAGGAAATCATGGGATTGGTTAAGACTGTCAAGGAGGCAGATCAGGGGCAGAGCCAGCACAAGCCAAACACAGCCCTGGCCAATCAGCATCTCCTCATAGAGATGAATTGAATCAATGCATCTCTATGAGGAAAGTTCAGTGTCTCCATCCAGAGGGTGGAGACACTGAATGTCAGTGCTGCACTCCCCAGGAAGCACCTCTATTAACCATTGGAGGAGTGGCCAGTGGAGGTATCCCTAGGCTGTAATGTAAACATTTCATTTTCTCTGAAAAGTCAGTGTTTACTGCAAAAAGTCTGAAGGGAATTATTATACTCACCAGAACAAATACAATAAGCTGTAGTTCTGGTGACTATAGTGTCCCTTCAAAGTAAGTTACATCTGATTGAAAGAGAAACCATTTTGTGTTCATGCAGGCTGTGTCAGTCACAGGAAGGGGAGGTGTGGCTAAGGCTGCATAAACAGAAACAAATGTGATTTACCTCCTAAATTGCCGAGTATTATAGCAATGAGACTCCAGGGGCACAAACTATACACAAAAAACTGCTTCATTAAGATAAAGTTGTTTAGAAGATTATAGTGTCTCTTTTATACAGTAAAATAAAAACTACAGTGTTAGGAACACGTTTGCCTTCCTAACGTTATAGTGTTCTTTAAAATATGTCTATAACCCAGCACCCATAACCTGTGCCAGCCTGTGTCAGTCCGAGAGAGTAATGAGGGAGAAGCTGGCGGCTGGTGCAGCCGCAATTACTCTGCCGACGGCCAGAGGGAGACCTGTCAGTCTCCCAGCACAATTTACAGCAAATCAGGCTGCATGCCCCACCCCTGCACTTAAGCCCCACCTCCACACGGGAGCTGCTGACCTCGCTGGAATGAAGAGGCAAGACAATGACACCTTCACCTTTCAGTGCCAGGTAAGCTTTGTGTGTGTGTGTGCGCCTGCTAGTGAGTGAGCTTCTGTGTGTGCGCGAGTGCGCATCTGCTAGTAAGTGAGCTTGTGTGTGTGTGCATCTGCTAGTGAGGGAGTTTGTGTATGTGTGTGCCTGTGTGTATGTGTACCTGCTAGTGAGTGAGCTTGTGTGTGTGTGCATCTGCTAGTGATTGAGCTTCTGTGTGTGTGTGTGTGCGTGTGTCTACTAGTTAATGAGTTTGTGTGTGTGTGTGTGTGTGTATGTGTGCCTGCCTGCTAGTGAGTGAGCTTGTATGTATGTCATTGAGCTTGTATGTATGTCAGTGAGCCTATCTATAGGAAGCATGTGTGTGTCAGTAAGCCTGTCTGTGGTGAGTATGTGTGTGCAGTGAGCTTGTCTGTAGTGACCGTGTGTGACCGTGAGCTTGTCTGTAGTGACCATGTGTGTCAGTGAGCTTGTCTGTAGTGACCATGTGTATGTCAGTGAGCTTGTCTGTAGTGAATCTGTGTGATAGTAAGCTCTTCAGTAGGGAGCATGTGTGTGTCAAAGGGCTTGTCTGTAGGAAGCGTGTGTGCATCCGTGAGCTTGTCTGTAGTGAGTGTGTGTGTGACAGTGAGCTTGTCTGTAGTAACCTTGTGTGTGTATCAGTTTGTCTGTACTAAACTTGTGTGTGTGTTAGAAATTGATATGCAAAACTGCAATATTGTATATAACTTTCTATGTATGTGACTGGTTTCACAACTTGGGGTCAACTACTTGATATGTGTAATGTGTATATCCTAAAATCTGTAACAGTATCCTAAATCAATATTAACAATACATTTTATTATAAACTTGTGTTTGTGTCTTGTCACACATTCCCTAAAAGAATATTATTGTAAGAGGGTCATCATTTCTTGCATAATGACGAGCCAGGTAGGAGGGATTTAGTGTGACTTTTAAGCATATTTATTAGTGTATAGATTGTATATTGACTTTTGGATACTGTTCAGATATTGTGTATAGAAATTTCAGTGAATATGATGGAGAGTTTATTGAAAAAGATTGCTAAGGTGTCTAATCCAGAAGCAATAATAAAATGTATGGAAGGTGCATTAGATCCGTGGCTTAATGCTCAGGATTATGTGGCCAGGGCAATTATTGAAAATAAATTGTCCAAGCCTAATGGTAAAATTGCTTTGGTTTTGTCACGTATTCATCCGCTTATAAAAATGTGGTTATTGGCATTTACTGTCCACACAGTAAAAGTTGTGCCGAGCAGCAACCAAATCCACAGAAGAGTTAATGCTGAGCAGCAATTATGCAAATGGTAACCTGGTAACTGCCTTTGGGGTCAAAGGCCGGTTACAGCCTATCAGATCTAGAGGAGGGCTATTTAGGCCCAGTTCTCATCCTGCTCAGTGCCCTGTCATGGTTTCCCTTGTGGTTGTATCTCGGAATATGCCATCGAATTTCGTACCCTAGCTTCTGAGGTAGACTGGACTAATAGTGGGTTAATCTCTGCATTTAAAAAGGGATTATCTGAAACTATGCTAGATGAGATTGCCGCCAAAGACTTACTCAAAAAGCTTAATGAATTTATCACTTTTGTCATGCAGATTGATAATAGATTAAGAACCAGAGAAGCTACTAGAAACAAGACCAGACGCATGAGTATGCATTTAGCACCCTGTTTCTCTATACCTATTGTCCCTGAAAATTCTGTACAGTCCAAACCCGAACCCGAACCCATGCAGTTGGGGGTCACTAGACTGTCGGAAGCAGAAAGACAATATAGGAGAAAAGAAGGCCTATGTCTATACTGCGGTAGGAAGGGACATATGAAAAACAATTGTCCCATACGTCCGGAAAACTACCGCACATAAGCACCTTAAGGGGACAGGTCTTAGGTGTAATGGAAATGTCCTCTGAAAAGAATAAAAATAGGTTTCTCCTTGACATTTCTATTGCCTTTGACAAAAATAACTTTTCATGCAAAGCCCTGATGGATTAAGGTGCTGCTGGAAACTTAATCGACATTCAATTTGTCAAAGGTAATACTATACCTATCAAAGAGAGACTATCACCCCTATCTGTTGAAGCTATTGATGGGTGACCACTCTCACAACCATTGATAATGCATGAAACCTTACCCATTAATATTTCCATTGGTGCATTACATAAGGAAGAGATTAAATTTCAGGTGATTGCATCTCCTTCTTGTCCTATTATATTAGGATTCCCATGGCTTAGCAAGCATAACCCTCATATTGACTGGGCTAATGGGGAAATATTAGAATGGGGTAAGGATTGTAATGAAAGGTGCATATTGCATGTCACCAAAAGAGTGGGCACTATTGAATTACCCACTAGTACACCTCAAAATCCAGAGATCCCTATACAATACCAAGACATTAAAGAAGTATTCAGCAAGACTCAGTCTAATACTCTACCTCCTCACAGACCATATGACTGTTCCATTAACTTACTACCAGGCGCTATGCCACCTAAGGGAGTAGTCAATGCTCTATCTCCTCAGGAGAGTAGTGTAATGGAGGAATATAATAAAGATTCATTGAATAAAGGCCATATACAAAAATCATCCTCACCTGCTGGTGCAGGATTCTTTTTTGTATCTAAAAAGGATGGTGAGTTGCGCCCATGTATCGATTAAAGGGCATTGAACAAAATCACCATTAAGAACGCCTACCCCATTCCTCTTATTGCTGAATTATTTGACAGACTCCAGGGCACTAAAGTGTTTACTAAGCTTGACCTTAGAAGCGCTTACAATTTAGTGAGAATCAAGGAAAACCACGAGTGGAAGACTGCATTTAATACCAGAAGTGGACTCTATGAATGATGCCATTCGGGTTGTGCAATGCTCCAGCGTTTTTCCAAGATTTCATTAACGATGTACTCAGGGATTACATTTACTTGTTTGTCTTGGTCTATCTGGATTATATCCTTATTTATTCTCCTGACCTCCAGTCTCACCACGATCACGTTAAACAAGTTCTGCAAAGCTTGTTAAAAAAAAACAACTTTATTGTAAATTGGAAAAATCTATCTTTGACCAGTCTGAAGTACAGTTTTTAGGATATAATTTCTGCCTCGGGGTTTCAGATGGATCTTAAAAAAAATAGAGTCTGTTCTACAGTGGCCTTTACCCACTGGGTTGAAAGCCATTCAGGGGTTCATTGGTTTGCGACAATTATTACAGAAGATTTATAAAGGGATTTTCTTCAGTAATAGCCCCATCACCAATATGACACGCAAGGGGGCTAGTAGTACGATATGGTCTAAGGAGGCAATTGAAGCCTTTGAAACTCTCAAATAGCGGTTTGCCTCAGCTGACATATTGATACATCCTGACACCAGTAAGCCTTTCATACTGGAGGTGGAGGTTGCTGCTTCAGAGACAGGGGTAGGGGAAGTTCTCTCCCAGAGGGAGAGTCAGGAAACTCCGTTACATCCTTGTGGTTACTTTTCTAGAAAGTAGTCTCCTGCTGAGAGCAATTACGATATTGGCAATAGAGAATTGTTGGCCATTATTCTAGATCTCAAGGAGTGGTGACATCTTCTAGAGCGTTCCAAGCAGTGGCGTACATACCAGGGTCGCCCGGCCGCCCCTGCGACCCGGTATGTAGCCACAGGGTCAGCCTCTTCCCCTGGGGGGCCCAGGAGCCGACCACCCCAGGGCCCCCCGAGGCTGGCCCTGCTGATACCGGGCAGGCGGGCGCGCGAGGGAGCACTCAGTGCTTCCTCTTCAGCTCCCTCGCGCACCGCACTGATACCGGAGCCGGAAGATGACATCATCTTCCGGCCCCGGCATACCTACGCGGCGCGCGAGGGAGCTGAAGAGGAAGCACTGAGTGCTCCCTCGCGCGCCCGCCTGCCCGGTATCAGCAGGGCCAGCCTGCCGGGGGTCTGCAGCACCACTGGACCCCAGGGAATCCCCCCAGCACTCCAAAAGGTAAGGAGGCTGGGGGGGATTACATTTAAAAAAAATGTGTGTGTGTGTTAGTGTATGTGTGTGTTAGTGTATGTGTGTGTGTTAGTGTGTGTGTTAGTGTATGTGTGTGTGTATGTGTGTGTTAGTGTATGTGTGTGTTAGTGTATGTGTTAGTGTATGTGTTACTGTGTGTGTTAGTGTATGTGTGTGTTAGTGTATGTGTGTTAGTGTGTGTGTGTTAGTGTGTGTGTCTGTTATTGGGTGTGTGTCTGCTAGTGAGTGTGTTACTGTGTGTGTCTGTTACTGAGTGTGTTTGATGTCTGTTAGTGAGTGTGTGTTTGTCAGTGAAAGTGTATGTTTTGTAAGTGAGTGTGTATGTATGTCTCTCGCTGAGTGTGTCTCTGTCAGTAAATGTGTGTGTCTGTTAGCTAGTGTGTATGCGTCTGTTCGTGAGAGTGTGTGTGTCTTCAGCATTTACCTTTCTCCAGCGTCGGACTCCCCAGTGTCCAGCTCTCAGCTCCGAATGCACATGCGCGGCAAGAGGCACGGGCGCATTTAAACCGCCCATAGGAAAGCATTACTCAATGCTTTCCTATAGACGTTCAGTGTCTTCTCACTGTGGTTTTCACAGTGAGAATCGCGGAAGCTCCTCTAGCAGCTGTCAATGAGACAGCCACCAGAGGCTGGATTAACCCTCAGTAAAACATAGCCGTTTCTCTGAAACGGCTATGTTTTCATCTGCAGGGTTAAAACTAGAGGGACCTGGCACCCAGACCACTTCATTGAGCTTATGTGATCTGGGTGTCTGTAGTGGTCCTTTAAGTGTGTGTGCATACCGCGGTCGCGGGGTTGCAGCCCTGCAACCCCTGCGACCAGGTGCCCGCCGCCATGTGTTGCGGCCCCGACCCTCGCCGATTAAGCGTGGGGGAGGGCCCACGGATCAATTTTTGCACCGGGGCCCCATGGGTCATGTGTACGCCACTGGTTCCAAGGACCCCCTTTTGATCATTACTGATCACAAAAACCTGGCTTACATAGGAGATGCTAAGCGATTATCTTCTAAACAAGCTAGGTGGTCTCTATTTCTTTCTCGCTTTAATTTTCTTATCACCTACAGACCTGGTTCTAAAAATGTCAAGTCCGACGCCTTGTCCAGGAAGTTTGATACTGAGGCTATACTAGAGCAGAAAATGTCGCATATCATTCCCCCAGAATGTATAATTGCGTCCACTGTACTTTCATTGTCCTCTCCACTGCTTGGCTCCATCATGGAGGCTCAGTCTCAGACGCCCTGCGGTAAACCTCAGGACAAACTGTTCGTTCCATTGGGGGAGAGGGTTAATATCATGAAGGTGTTTCACGACAATGTGTCTGCTGGTTACCCAGGTATTAATAAATCCACTTCTGCTATCATGAGGTCATTCTGGTGGAATTCCCTCAGGAAGGATGTTAAGGAATATGTGCAGGCTGGTTCTGTTTGTGAGGTTTCCAAAGTGCTTCATAAACTCTCTTGTGGCTTGTTACAACCTCTTCCTATTCCTGAGGTCCCATGGTCCCACTTGTCCATGGACTTCATTGTTGAACTTCCTAGTTCTAACGGTTATACCACCATTCTCATGGTTGTGGTCCGTTTTTCTAAAATGGCTCATTTTATTCCTCTCAAGAAATTGCCGTCATCTCAAGACCTGGTACTAATCTTTATACGAGAAATTGTCCGTCTGCATGGCATTCCTCACAATATAGTATCTGACAGAGGTTCTCAGCTTGTGTCTTGGTTTTGGAGGGCCTTCAATAAACAATTAGGGATTGAATTGTTTTTTTCATCCTCTTACCATCTTATTCATCTGCTTATAAAAATGTGGTTAATGGCATTTACTGTCCACACAGGAAATGTTGTGCCGAGCAGCAACCAAATCCACAGAAGGGTTCATGCTGAGCAGCAATTATGCAAATGTGAACCTGGTAACTGCCTTTGGGGTCAAAGGCCGGTTACAGCCTATCAGATCTATTTAGGCCCAGTTCTCATCCTGCTCAGTGCCCTGTCGTGGTTTCCCTTGTGGTTGTCCGAGAGCACGTTATTGATTCTGGTTATTTGACTTTGGCATTGTTTTTGACTTCCCTGTTTTCTGGCATCCCTGACTCCTGGCTTTTCCTTATCGTTGTGTTTCTTTCTGTATCCCTTGACCTCAGCTATGCCTGACTATTCTTTGGTACGTTAGTGCAGCCATTCTAAGGTCCGGTATACGTTATGTGTTGCAATTCTACATGCTGGATCATTCTGTAATCCTGACAGGTTTATGCTGCCTGTTGGATTGCGGAGAACTACAAATCTTTATCCAAGCAAAAAGAGAAATTAGAGGCAGATGTTTTGAGTTTAAAGAATTATGTTGAATCATTTAAACTGTCTGCGCAAATTGCTGCTGCTTTGTGTGTAGATAGTCAGCAAATGCGTCAAGAAAATGAAGAATTGCATAGTTGTAATGAGCAGCTGAAGGATGCAGAGGGTGCTATTAGGATCCTTGCTTCCAGCAGCCAGAATGAGGCTGATTATTCTGCCTGCTCTGAAGAAATTGATGATTTAAAAAGTAAACTAAAAAAAAAAAATAGTTTTCCTGCTATAAACTATGGGCTGAAAACTGATTGTGGAGGTTTGTGTGCAACAAAAAGGGCGGTGTTTAATAATAATGAAAGAGATTGTGAGTGATGTATTCCTACAAAAATGGCACCAATTTCAGTCAAAAATAAAATGCATACTCAGGGAATTTTAATATCGCAAAAATGTGTGTCCAGACCCTTGTCCATAGCTGAGATTGATTTAGTTTGCAAAGAGTTTGGAAAAATATGCTTTCTTGATAACCCAGTGGAAGTGTTCATAAAGATTCAGCAGTTTTATAAAGTCAAATCAAATTTATTAGATGCAGACAAATTTGAAGTACTTTTGAGTAGTCTTGACTGCGCCTTAAAGGCAAGTTTACCCCCCTGAAGTGTTTGTAGAGCCCAGAAATTTATATATATATATATAAAATAGACACACTTTTTTTTCCAGGGATGCTTTGTATGCCCAGTCCAGCCCTGGTCCTGTGTACTGGCTTGCCTTGAAAGACTGTTACCACCTGGGGACCAAGTATACACTGATGCAACGGACTAATATCTTTCAGAGATTTGTGAACATCCTTTCCAATCCTCCCATTCTTCATATAGTACAAACCATTGTACAGTTTCCCCTTAGCAAGACTAGTAGAATAAGTTGAACATAAGGAAGGTGCATCATTTTAGTAATGTAATTTAGTAAGTTAGACAATGCTTCCATTAAATATATTGTTTCAGGGATCCTTACCTTTTTGATGTTCGTTATATTTGCATATAACATTAACCTGCATATTATATTTTAATAAAACATTGCTTAACATGCATATTTACAATCTGGTAATTATCACATCATGAAATGTCTTAAAGTCACTGAAGTGACTGAACAAATTATTAAATGACACGTTAAAAAACGAGAAATTATTATATTTGTACTTGGAAGAGAATATATAACTCTGAGGTCCACATTTACACTCAAATACACAACCAAAATCAGTGCAAATTAAACATTGAAAAATAAAATACACAGCATTCTTGCAAAATATATAGATTTGTTTGTTCGTGTACTATCAGCACAATTGCTTTTAAATACAAAAATGTACATTTCAAAACAATCAGAAAACATACGTATTACCAACACAGTGGGTTGCAAGTTAGACAATTAGAAACAAGTTAACACAAACAAAACCCTGTTTTCAAGATTAAACCACAAGTAAACATAACCAGGGTGCACATTTAAATGCACACAATATTAAGTAAAGACACAAAGGCAACAATATTTTTTATATATCAATGAAGGAAACTTTGGCACAATGGCTGCACTGTCAGATGATGAAAAATCTGTTTTTAATATTGATTAAAAAGAGGCAGTTATAAATATTTAAAATTGCTTTACATATATAATGCTTGAGTATTTATAGCAGTCAGTATGTGATGCTCACAAAAAATGTAGCAATGTAAAAAGCCATTATTGCTTCTCAACGGCCACAGACGAAAAAAAAGATATGCAGTGTATATTGCCGACATAGTACAACTCCTTAGCAAACATACCTCTGTCATTCCCAAGTATAAAGCATTCGGAGAATGTTCAACAGCATCACTAAATCTTTGCTATCTAAATATTTGCTAGTAAACCAGGTATTGATGGAAAACAAGGCATTTCGGGAGTTCGAGAAATTTTTACATTTTGGTTATTTTTAGTATAAAAAGTAAAATTCCCGGGTCAATTCCCAATTTAATTTTTTTTAATAAAAGGGTCAATTATTTATTCAAGTGTGAATTCTCAGAAATTTAGCTGGGAAATGCACATTTTAATCAAAAATAAGTTAATAGTTATTATGAAAGTTATTCAAATGAACTACGTTTCCATTTCCTGGCTAATTATTTCTCTAATTGTTTCATGACCAACTTAACTATGATATTTCAATCCAAATCAACTTTCTTATTTGCTTTACTTAGGACATGGAAAGTTTTCACTAAGTTGTGAAATGTTGACAACTTAAAGAGAATTTATAATTTTAGACATAATTGAAAGGTTCCTCAAAGTTACCTATGTTGTCAGTTCTACTATTTAGGAATAAAAGTTTAAATTCAATGTGATCTATGGACTTCTCATGCTTTAGTGAATAACCTTGCAAAACAGGATTTACATGGTTATTCACAAAGCCTGGGATTTGGGAGAATAAGAAATAAAAGCAAAATTTAGGCCAAGATTTTCAACATGGAAGAGCTTTCCAACACAACTACGTTTACAAATGAGCTACTTTGACCTAAAACTATTAAAGATGCTCTGTCATCACCTGGGGTCTTTGCATGCTTTGGCAGTTGGCCATGTGGTGGAGGGAAAGAGGAGTTTTGCTCATCTGAACCGGTCCTTGATGGTCCCCACTATTCTCAACAAGTCGTTCATCTTTAGCAGCACCTGGCACATCCTCTGCCAGCAGCCCTTGATGTACACTAGAGTATTTCACTGAGATCTATGGAGGATCCAACCACCATCAATGGACAATGTCTTCTTCCCTACAGCCATCACTCGTGACAGATTGGGGAAATGACGAAACTTGATGGAAGTAGCTCCACCTTTTGTTAAGTTTTATATAGAGTAGGTAATATACATAAGAAAAAGGAGTTCCTATTTTGTCGAAGTAGAGAAATTCCAACACAGTCAATGTGGGTATTTCATAAACACAGCTGCTTTAAAAAGTTATTCTCAATTCCAACTTAGTGAATAATACTATTGGGAATTCTGTTCCTGATAAAACCTGAACATTCAGAGTTCTCGGAGGACTAGCTCATGAAGCGGAAATCACAGAAAAGTAATTAATTATAAAAACCGAGTACACTGGTCTAAAAGAAACAAAAAGTAATTATTTAGTTCATATAATTATTTTTTTAACAAAAAAATAATCACCTGTTTATAAATAAATCCAATCCTTTCCATTGTAGATCACTCTAGAGGCAAATATTAAAATATAATCAGAAATGGATATACATTTTTTTCTGCACTTTAAAATAAGACTTGTATCATATGAAGGCACATTAACTTACCGCTTTAAGTGCATGGGAATAATACAATGTATTGCGCCTAGCACCCAAAAGGATAATATGCTTATAGTCACAAATAGATACACATTACATTTAAGAACTGGCATAACTTTATTCTATCCCAACATAAAAATAAATATAAAAAACAAAGAATAAAGTTACTTGCGCACACATAAAAATAAATATGTATTTTAATAACCTGCGCTTTACCCCTTCCCTGTAGCCTAAATGTTTCTGATAATTGTTAGAAGCGGTCAGTAAGATGAAAAATTAATTGCTAAATATTCATGAAATATCACATTTTTCCAGAGCTTTTCTTGTTCCCCATATATTTAAGCAGAACACACAGTCTAGATTTAAAAGTTAATTAGACATTGCCATCCGTATAATAAATAAGAATTTCCAATAGGCTACATGTGGTAGTTAAAAAAACAGCTTGTAATGTAACAGGATGTCCACATTGCTATTGCAAATATTCTCGGGTGATGATCACTGCATAAAATGATGCTTTCCTGTAGTGCATACCTCCCAATGTTGGAGGTTTGTCCAAAAAATAAAATAAAAAATGGGTGCTTCCTCCCTAAAAAGGGGGCTATTAGACTGGCATGCATTCACACTGGCATAGCAAAAGCATCTCTGGACCTAGATGTTCTTATTGTCCAGTAGTGGAAAAATTAATGGCATAAGTCACAGTTAACCAGTTAAGATGCAAATTGCAGAGAATGCTATATGTCGTAAACTCAGTATTTGGTACGACATAGGAGGTTCAGTGAATTCCTAATTAGCTTTACTAATAAGTATCTGTCAATGCCAATGCTATCCAGGGAGTGTATTATGAAATAAAAGGAATAGCTAGTCAGTACTTTTGATCCACTGCCCAAATTCAACCAACCGTATACCTAACTATCGATATCTATATTCTAACTAGTAACTGACAAAACCTAGCCTAATAGAGAGTGGAACATCACCAAAAGCAATAGAACGGCACAAGGTAAGACATCATTCTAATTAACGCCACATTCTATTTACATGAGCAGTAAAGTGCAAATTTAATGAGACTGTTTTACATGCAGAATAGCTACGACACAAAAAAAAAAATATATATACATATTTTTTTACTTTTCTTTCACACGATCTGTGGCTTACATGTTAAAACTGAAAAAATATTAATGCACACATGCTTTGGTATTAAACATTGGCCTGTTGATAGCAGGTTACTTGTGGTATGGAGCACTGCTTTGGAGTAAACACAAACGCTTTAACATGACACATATTAAGGTGTCTTACAATTGCACTTGAATATATTTAAATATCAGTGGGTAGAATATGATGAGCCTGAAACAACTACAAATCATTTTATCTAAAGAGCATAGTTATATTTTGGCAACATTAATCCCATCACTTTAAAATGGGAAACTTGGAACCAAGTTATGCCCACTTCTGCTAATTTATTCATTGCGCACTGGGAGGAGTTGTATATATTCACCAACCATGGCTGGCTCACAACTGTCACCTTTCATTGCTTCATAGATAATATGTTTTATTTTGGAATTGGACAGAGGAAAATTGTACTTAATGTGCTACTTTTTTAAAGGACCACTAGTCACCCAGACTGCTTTATCTCAGTAAAATGGTCTGGGTACAGTGGTCCTGTCATTTTAACCTTTCAAAAGAAAACATTGCAGTTCTGTAGAGCTGTAGGGTTAACTTAAACACTCCTCTAGTGGCTGTTTTCCATGCAGCAACTGGAGGCGCTTCTATGGCACTGACCAAGTAAAACAGGAAGTGGACTGGACCAATGATGGAGGAAATGACACATGAGGATATCGTTGGAGGCAGAAAAGTGAGCAGAGCCGAGGGAGTATTGGTGCTGGAAAAAGTTAAGTAAACCTTTTTTTTTTTTTAAAGCTATTTTTAAGGCTATCTACTCTAAAAAAAAAAAACAACAGATAAATAAACCAGTTGGCAATAAGAATCAAATATTTCTATTATATGATTTTCATGATGAATGCCAAACAATAAAGGTTATTGAAAAAAAACAAAAAAACATTGGCATATTGTGCTAAAAGATAAAAATCTAGAAAAATAAAAATTACATCTAGAGAACCCTCTCAGTTTAAAGCAAAGATTAACACATGGTTATTTAAACCAAGAGAAAGAATGGTGAGCTTGTCTCTTTTGGGCAGTGAGGAGGGGGGTGAAGGTTGTTATTTCTTTTGTAGACGATGTCAAGCTTGCCAAAACACAATTTATAGTAAAAAGAAAATAGTCAATTTCATTATAGTGTAATAAAAAAGTGTCATTTGCGAGGGGCAGAGGTGGGTGAAAATAATGCAAAAAGGAAAGTTCTGGGTATACAAATTATGTATATTAGGTCCTCTAGGACTTAATACTGGATTAATTTGCACATGTTTATGGGCATATAGTAAAGCTATAATTTAAATGACAGATAGAAAAAGTTAGGGCCGTGTCACCTTAATGAAACATAGACTATGGCACTTTAAGAAATATGTATAAAAGTGGGGACAATGCTTTGTATGAAAGTTGCATTGAGAAAGCTTGTAGGTGCGATATGTGTCAGCAGTGTTTTGTCATTATGCCTGCATGCCAGCATCATGATTTCTATATGGAGAGGACACAGAGGAAATGGAGATTGACAATGTTGTTATGTGTCACAAGTGATCTTGTGGGTTGAAAAACCAAAAAGTTCCTAGTTTTACTAAACTACGTGTTTTAATAGAGGGCAAAACACGATTATGTGTTCTTTAAATAGGTAGGAGTTTTGAAGTGCCCAAGTGCCACGGGGAAACTTTTGAATATTGGACTGACCATACTACTAGTAGAATAATGCATATACATATTGTTTGATGACAACTGAACTGTTGACAATCACAGAAGGGTAATAAAGATTAAATTGTTGTCTACCCAGCACTCAATTTTATCTGTATTAAGACATTTTCTGTGTTTGCACAATGATGGTGAGGTGTCATTGTGATAACAGCAGCATATTGCAGCAAGTAGTAAGCACCATATAAAATCAGTTTCTCTTGTACATAGCGCATGCTTACATTGCAAGATACTGAATTTCAGAATGAAACCCAATACATTCTGCAACACTGCTTCTAAGTTGCCGACAGTGAACGGAAAGGCTTGAATATTAATGCATTTTAGCACAGTATGGTAGTTGGTTACTAAACTGGGAATGTTCAAGAATTGATTAAAAATTTTTTAACCATTTTAGGGAACATCTCCACCATTTAATACAGCTTTCTGGGAAAGTGCACTCATGTTCAGCGGATCTGCAAGGCTTCTCTGATTGGTTATACACTAGCACAGTGAAATAGTCAGTGCCAGGGAACAAGGGGAGATTACTAGATCTGCAGCTACTTCAAGCGACAGATTTCATGTGTTACCAATGAAAACATGCCAAACAAATTCATGTTTCCTTGGTACCCCAAGGAAAAATTGTTCATTTTTAAATGGTATTTTCTATTAAAGCTCCAAGATGCAATAATTATGGTCTGGAGTCCAGGGCTAGGACAAAGAATATTAGATTATTTTTTTTAATTTTTTTTAAGGAGAACTAAGGTGAGAGTGTCAAGGGATAGGAAAATTAGTGACAGAAAGGTTATTGCAGAGAGAATTAGGGTTTAAGATCAAAAAAGAGGCATAAAGAAAAATATAGCAGGCTAAGAAGAAAGCATGACATGATGGTAATCTCCACAAAGATAGTAAAAGAAATTGAAATCAACACTGCACAGAAGTATATAAAAAAATGGAAAAGAAAATCACAAAGTGAAGCCGCACTAAAGAATAAAACCAAACACATTTCAAAAATTTCAGTTCTTAATCACTAGAAATCTAATGATTAAAGACTAAAACGGTGTTGATTAGTTATAGAACTGGTTGTTTTTTTCCCCACAATTATTTAGAATTTGTAAACATAAGAAACACAGGTATATTTAGTATTTTCTTTGAATAAAATTGCTTTTAAAAAAAAAAAAAAAAAAAACTTTTTTTACAGTACAGATAATCCTAATTTCAATCCTCTTTAGAACTCACAGGGGTCAATTTAAACAATATTGAATATTGCTAAAATGTGTCAATAAGCGTTCACTGCAATATGCAGCCATTTCCTAACAGATGTTAGAGCTAACTTTATCCTGTTCTCTTGCAGAATCTTCCATAGGCCTTTGTTTCATAGTCTCATACAATTGTAATAAGCTTGCAAGGGACAGTGCCACTTTAATGTCTTGTGGAAGCCTTTGCTCTTTCATTAGACATCTATGCTTTCCATGTTCTTCAAATAACATTGTTTCTGTGTGGCATTAATCAAATCTAAACAAGCTGATAAATATCAAGGTGAGAATGGGTGAGTGTCGGGATTTGTCAGCATGTGGAGTAAGACAAATAAATAAAAGCAAATGAAAACAGAAATTTTTAACTTTTGCCTTGAGATTTTCTTATGTTTTCTTTAAGTAACAATATAAATACATAGCAGCAAAATGTTTACCCATTCTTATATATTTTTGTCAATTATGTGATAATTTGTCATGCTATTCAAGACCCGATCACTTATAAAGGTGCTCTTTGTTTCATCACTTTAACAATATTCAATGCATCATGGCCCTTGACATAATTGTACTATGTATGAGATATATATGTATATATATATATATAAATAATATATTATTTTTTTCAGTCCCTATTGTCAGTACTGTTTAAATTATGAAGGGCTCATATTTTAATAATTTGACAATAGGAAATGCAGTCACTGAACTGAGTTTTGTTTTTGTGTGTGTTTTGTTTCACTGTTACACTGCTACATTCCGCCATTTTTTTTATGACTTCACACTCTGCAGCCATTACTTTGAGCATCATGGAGGATGAGGATATGCAATATGTTTGAATTGATTGCCTTAACTGCCTATAAATGTCACAAAAAGTTTGTTATTAACTATCACGCTAAGATATTCCTCATGTGAATAAAAAAACAAAACAAAAAAAAACACTTTAAAGTGCTCTTTACGAATCATGTACTTTTGCAGTTAAACTCTTTATACTGGATATAACAGTAATATATTAAATTTTGTGAAGACAAATCATGCTTTATCTATGTATACATACAAACATTTCTGCATCTAAAGGCAATATCTACACCTCTTTAGAAGCATGTAAGGAAATACTGTCATTCACAGGTATCAATCAAAACTAATCTTAGCAGATCATAAAAACTCACTTGTTGAGCTGCAAGTCACAATATGCGGTCGGTCACTTTAGAAATTTAACTGCAAACCCAAGCTTAGCTAGTACAATAGGTCGCCAGGTTGTAATCACTGGTGGTGGAGGTAAGACTTTCTCTAAGCCCATATATTCATGTTTTTTGCCACAGTATGTATATCAGAGAAGATGTAATGGAAGCTTCATTTTGGTAAAGCTGTTGAATCCCATTCTATATTACAAACCCATTATCATTAACCATCATGTATAAATAATAAACCTGCCTACTCATAGAAATGTCAATAATAATAATAACTTTTTTTGTTTGTTTAAAGAATTTTCAGTTTACGGTACAGTTGCAAAGATTAACGAGTAGTGATGATTACCAACTGCATCATTACACAATACATTCATGTATAATATATACGGTACAAATTACTCCTGCATTTGTTCAAATGAATAGGACCTATGTAATCTTGTATTGCACTCGTTAGCTACCAGATGCAAAAAGTTTTGTAAAACAGTTCAAACACTAAAAATGAGGGAACTATTTTTAGATCAACAATAAATAAGTCAAGTGTTTGTTATTTTTATCCGTTACATGTTATTTTTATCCGTTACATATATTAAAACATCATTTTAGCTGTTCCCTATTACCCATCCTTTTTTAAGGAGTTAAAAGGTTTGCCTGCTCAGAGTATATACGGTTTGTCAAACTGATTAAAACACAGTTCATAAGGAAATTATATTATCTTCTATAATATTTTTTTTTTAGAAAGTATAGTGTTCATATATATATATATATGTATATATATATATATATTACTAAATTACTTTCTGCCAAAAGTGTAAAATATTTATATACACTTTATTTTTAAATTTAATGTTTACACTGTCAACGTTTGGTAGAAAGTAATTTAGTAATATCATTAAATAATGTGAAACCATAGAAGTTTCCTCAACTTGTTTTTTTTTCATAAAATTTCTAACTTTCAAGGTGTTTTTATGGTACTAATAAAAACTCCTGTTTGTCCCTATTACTACACACTGGACAAAAGTGCTGAATAAACCCTAATAACATATTTTGTGACCAAGTTGTTAAAATGGGTTTCCAGTGCATGTTTGCTATGAATACAAGAACGGTCAGCTCATTTCATGCACAAGTTAAAAACACAGACAGAATTGCTTCTAGATATACAGGATAACTACCCGGACTAGTTTGTACATTAATTTTAAGACTTTCCAGGTGAAACCCTTACTGGAAGCGGTAGGAAGAATGTTAAAACTGAGCACTGCATATGATAGTTTCAAAAACAACAGTTATTGAGGGTGGAAGAAGATTCTGCTCCCAGTGGTTCTCCTACAAGATGCACCAGGCCATCTGTCCAGTTCTCTCTTCTGTAGTTCCTATGTCTCATTAAAAATATTGTGTGGTCCTTTTGCTAGTCCCTCCTTTCTTAGCTCCCATTGTCATTAACCGTAACAGAATCCACTTTTGAATCTTTTGAACTGGAAGAGGTTTTCTTTTGTTTCTGCTTAGACTTCTTCAACATGTGGACCTTAAGAAATAAAAGAGTTGCGTAAATGGCGGGTTCATTAGAGACAAGTAAATCATGAAAAAAGATCTACAGACAAAAATACAACTTTGTCTTAAAACAAAGTTTTTTTTTTTTTACAAATTCAGGAATGAATTAAGGGTTACTCTCCCCAGACTAACAGCTACAAGACAGGCCATGTTTCTTTAGTTTTGGCCAGTCTTCAAGAGGTATACCCTTACACGCATGTTACACATGTTATGTCACAACCCTCCACACCCATGTGTGACACACAACAGTGTGCTCTGTTAGGCAATTATTTGAGTATTTCCCAACAAGCTAATCACAGCCTGCACAACTTGTAGAATTAAATAGGTTCACTCCAACAGGCTGGTGAAACCCATTTACTTCTACTGGGTTTAGAACGCTTGAGGCTACTGCTGGGGCATTGCTCGGGAGTAATGACAGGAGTTACATTAGTAAGTTCCGGAAAAGCCCTGGATATAATTTTGGCACCATTTCATTGCTGGCCCCAAGTTCCTTGTAAAACTAAATAACAACTCCAATGATGTAATCTGTGACAGGGAGTCAATTATACAGCACAGTACAGGGGTATTGCTGTGGGTGTATTATTTTAATGTAGTGGAGTAAAGGGTTAATACAGCAGGTGTCTAGTTTAAGTGAATATTTGAAGCAAAAATATAATTTATAGAACAGAAAAGGGTTTGGGGTTGCTCTTAGGGCATGGGAAAGGAAATTACGTCAATATATACAGTAGAAGGCATAAAATGTACCCTTGGACTATAGCCCCTGGTCTTTTTACCACCTGGTAACTCCATGAACTACTGCAATTCACAGAAGAAAATAGGGGGTAAACTGCTTCCTAAGAGTGCTGACCTGCTGTAAATATTTCACCAAAAGTAAAAAAAAAAAAAGTTATTTAATTCAATAACCATAATATATTGCCACGATAGAACTGACTTTTTCATTAGGAAGAAACATATTACTGACACTTTATGGGGAAACTCCAGAACCTTAAAGCACTACAGTTTGCTAAGCTTGATTGCTTCGCATGCAACGATTTTATCTGTTAAAAAAAAAAAAGGAGGGGGAGACTGTTGCTAGAAAGCCTCCCCACAGCAGAGCGAAGCAGCGTTGAGAGAAAACTTGCCATTGGAAAAACAAAAATGAGGTGACTATTTTTTTGTGTATTAGAGATGTGTGCTTGGTATACTCCAAAGTTTAAACAAAATATCTGGTTTTAATGTTGTCGTGTTCCTTTAATGACAGATGTATTTTGGTATTTGACTTCCACAATTAAAATATTATCGATGGTGAAACAATTTACAGTAAATATGCTTTACACTACAGCTAATAATCTACAGATATTTTTGTAAAATAGGCAACAAAAACAAGAATATCAAACAAAAGATACAGTACTAAATCTACTGTTATATATTCATACCTTTGGACCCGCAGCAGAAATAATTATCTGTCCTGGTGGCTGGATCCACGGCTCACCATCAACTTGTACAGGAATAGGTTTTAGCAGTGTTACACGGAAGTATGAACCCTGGGCAATGCGTATGCCTGAACGCAGGCCACCTTGCACCTGTCCCTAATTGAACAAAACAAAAATTACATGATAAGCTATCTCAATACAGTCATGACTCCAACATGTTTTTTCACAATAGGAAACCTAGTTGAAAGACATGAACAGTAACACAATAGCACATTCAGTTTAACAAAAATGTTTATGGACCATTCATATCAGAAATGTCCAAACATCCAACAGAGAATAATGGAGTTATAGAGGTGAGGTACAGTCCACCAAATGGGTGGTGGCACAGATTTATACTGCAGGTTAGGTTGACGTATACATATAATGAGAGTGAGAAGGATTAAGAGAATTGGTAAGGCACATACTAAATTGGTAAGCTCTCTCTCTAAAAATTCCATATGGAATCCCATATATTACCGAATCCGATTGGATTAAAACCTCCAGGAGAAATGATAACCTATAACTCTGTAATAGATGATATCTTATTGCAATGAATGAGAGTCCTGTTTAACACATGGAAATGTGTGATATGTGAAGAGGACTTACCATGTGAACTACACCCGTAACACCAACAACTTCAAGTAATCCATCATCAATCCTTGGCTTTCCGTATCGGTTATCATTATCAGAACCCCATAAATCAGCTCCTGATCCCCAACTGAACAAAAAAAAAAAAATTCCCAGATTGTTGAATTGAAAGCATACCTGACGTGGCGAGTTTGTTATATTTGTCTATTTTCACCAAACATTTGAAATTAGTGACTACAGACACTTTAATGAATAATATTATCATATGATGGTTTAGGGAACTTTAGGCCCTAATAAAATACATTTTTGACAATTTGTCCGCAAAATATTATGTTCCATATACTCTTACTCCACTAACAAGACATTTAAATAATGAGAAAAAAAACCACACACACAAAAAACGCCCCCAAAAACAACTTTGATTTGTACTAGTCTAGGTACTTAAAAATTAAAGTTTTATGTATAAAGCCTGATTCTGGACAGATGTTCTAGAGAAATCAGCAAAAAATTATTTTCACAGTAATTGTTTTTTCTTTAGGAACATAGCCAGAGCTCCAATAAGTAGGTATTCACTTGGAACCCTGAACCAAATGGGACATTCTGTGGCACTGCAGTCTCAAGGGCTAGTGGGAAGCTCAGAGGATTTCTCCAAATAGCCTTTAAAGCTTCAGAGCCACAGAACGTCCCACTACAGCCAAGTGCCTCTTACAGATGTGTGAGGTTTGCACTTCTGGAGGGTACAGATCACTGTCAGCACTCCCACGTAATCATTCAATTCTCAGTGCATTAAATGGTCCAGAAGGAGCACAGAAATTGATATATCTCGACCAGAGTATAAAGTGTTAAATAATAATAATAGTATGAAAACAGGGAGAATCCCTAGTTTACACATACAGCTCATGGAGAGTTATGGCACGAATTTAAACTCCAATCATAATGCTTTAGGTCATATTCTTGTCTTGACATCAAAATGCATAAATAAATTTGTAAATGTGAAGAAAAATGGAAACAATTGAGAATTATTATCATTTTCTTTTTCCCCCCCATTCAATATGTACAAACAACATCATATAAAGGATTAGCTGCAAAGTGTAATAACATTAGGAAAATAAGGCAACGCTATGGCTTTTACATCAAGTGATGAAATTCTCACACAAACAAATTAAATTCTTCTGTATGGTATATAATATAGCTGGTACATTTGCACTTATTCCTACTTATTTATACATTAGTGTCAAGTCATTTCTTAACAGGAGCTCTACTTAGTGCCCTCTAGTGTTGATTGTATAGAACTGTGTAGAGTTTGACCACGTTATGATATATAAATTGTGTTATGCCAGCGGTGTAACTTGGAATTTTTACCATTATTTCTCTACAGGGAAAATAATCATAAGACCTAATATTTGTCCTATGAATATGTGTACTGACAAATCTTTCTTAAATTTTTTTTATACTATTAGTGAATAAAATAAGTTAACTTGTTTCACCCTTGTAGCTTGCCACCAGCATCTTTCAAACTAGTCAAAATGTGTAATTCTTAAGACAAATGTTGTCATAGACTGTGGGCTATCTAATTTCTGTAAAATCTATAAAGTGCCGCATTTTTAAATTTTTTTATTTTTCGTTCACGTCATAATTTACAAACCCTTCACTGTATTTTTTTGCCGCTTCTGAACCAGTTAGGTAAATCCATGGTTGTCATGGCAGTACTGTTCTTTTGGGCTCTAATCTGTTAATGGCATTATTTTAAATGCAAACTTTTGAATTAGAATGTTCCTGCTAGTTAAGATATATTATTTACAAAATATTTTAGTGATGTAGAAACTCTTTTTAAAGTAAATTACATCCAAGATATTGGTTTAATGATCCATTTGTATTTTTAGTTTGTCATGTGAGGAAACTGACAAAGGTCAGATCCAGGGGTCATGAATACTGAACAATTGTACAGCAAAGTTCTGAAAACAGGAATCAAATTCTTTTAAGTCCCATTTCAATTGAACAAAGAAAGGTCCGAAACATTGTGGCATGTTATTCTAGGACATGGCTATCTTCATGATCTACTGAAAGCCAATTATGCAACTCGAAATTTTAATATAAAAAGCGATTGCTTATTTACTGCATAACATATGAAGTATTTTCCCGCTATCA